ATTGATTAATAGGGGAAGATGTCTGCATTGGAAAACATTATTAGGGTGATGCCAAGGTGGAAATCTAAGTTTTCAATTAGTTTAGTATTGGAGGGGTCGAATTGGGATTGATTAATAGGAAATGGTTATTTAATCCTATATCAATATTATGGATGCGCCATTTTGATCCGGGGAAATGATTGCACCATTGATGGAAGTTCAAGCCAACAAAGCATTTGATTGTTGGCGATTTTCGATTGCCATAGAACACCAATTGTATGACATTTTAAGACGAAGATCAGGTTTGAAGACACTGCTGAATTGGCGCTAATGGTGAAACCAAATGGGGATGAACAATGATTTTGTTTGCACTTGGAAATTCCGAGAATTTGTTCCATTTGCTTTCCATTTGGCACACCCTTGTGGCTGCATATTGGGGTGCGAAGCTATTCCTTCACTAGTGGCCGACCCCGCTGAGGACGAGAGGGGTAAGAATGTGTGTTATTGCTCTAGTATACATAAATATGGGATTGCAGGTTGGCAGACGAAGCTGCTCCTTCACCAGGGGCCGATCTTTCTGGGGACAGAGGTTGCTAGTTGGCATATATACGCAAGAATATATATTGTAGTAGCTTTATACATGATCATGGGGCTGGAGGTTGGCAGACGAAATTCTTCCTTCATCAATGACCGATCCTCCTGGGGACGAGAGGTTCCTAATTTGCTTATTATAACAATTCTATTATATATGAACATGGGGCTGCAGGTTGGCAGACGAAGTTGTTCCTTCATCAATGACCGATCTTTCTGGGGACAAGAGGTTGCTAGTTGGCATGTTTGCGCAAGAATGGGTGTTGTAGTGGCTTTATATATGATCATAGGGTTGCAGCTTTGCAGACGAAAATATTCCTTCGCCAATGATCGATCCTCCTGGGGACGAGACGTTCCTAATTAACATATTTGTGCAAGAATATTTGAATCTCTGAAATATGTTTTTGCTCGATCCACTCTCAATTTTGTGTCATTCCATTGCCTATGCAGATTGACACATAAAGCTCACGAAGCGCCTGTCGTCAATCCGCCTCTCCACATGAATTCTAAGCAGATGAACGCGATGAGAAAATTGTTGAAGCAGGGCTTCAGCAGCAGGCCAACAAGGACGGTAAAACCTGGACCGTGGCCTCTGAGTGAATCATTTGCGGCAAGGCTAAGCACGCAGGCAAGTGGTGCTTGAGATATATTGCAATTGTCACCGGTTCCTGGTATATATGTATTCTCGAAATACCCAATCTTTCAAATGCATAAAGAATGTTCATGTGTTGTCCCAGATGCCAACATTCAAATCTTTGTTGAAAGCCTCATCCACAAGTGAACCCTGACACAATGGACTCAAAGCGGTGTGTGAATGTGTGCGTGATTTGGCTTGCCTTTGTCATACCATGCGCCTAGTGCATTCCCCATATCATACGGATATATGGAATGCCCAGGCAATGCAAAAAGATATCCAGGAACATCAAACTCACAACCAGGTGATATTTTTAATTTATTGGCTTCTGGTATATCTTTTTGTTGGATTCATGCATTTCCAGCTTCTTGGGTCCACCAAGAGTTGACAGGCAACTGGATTGAGTTCACCACTCATGTTTCGGCTATCAACAGTTGTCCAACTAGTGGCTTCCGATAAATTGAAAGTACGTGCCCTCGACCCATGGATAAGCTTCATAACCCTATTAAATAAAATCTTTGATGATTTGATTCTTACCCGCGCTTACCTTTGGATTCCTAAGGGGCAGGGCTTCCGCTAAATCTTTTCGAGGTTTTGCTTTTGGAGCCGTCTTTTTGTCTTTTTATTCGCTTCTGCTAGCTGTTTTTGTTATTCTTCTGTTATTTCTGCCTTCCATGGATCACCTCTAGGAAAATCAAATCTGTGATCCAAGCCTCATATTTCTGGCCGCGACCATATGACTTTTGGAAATATGGAGTACAGCCTGACTCAACTTCTGCCACAGGTCCGGCCTTTCTCGAAGAAGGATTCGAGCAGGTCGTGTCGTATTTCAGGCCGTCTGATATACAGCATAGATGTCATGTATTCGATCCAACATCAAGCGAAGATGAATCAAGCGTCCAGGTATGAAGGCATTATATGCTATGAACGAAGGACGAAGAAGGTTTTTGCGGGCCATGAGCAACTGGCTGGCAGAAGCCGCCTGACTGTGTACGCAATATCATGCAGGCGTGGTCCATTGGCAATTCATCTACCAATCAATTTCTTATATCAATAAGACATCTTCTGAGCAACCATCACACCAATTGATCCATTCATGGTAGGTCAGGCCACATGAAGCGTTCCATGAGAAAATTTGCAGATCATTATACGAGCAGGATGAAATGCTCGATTAGGTGGTGGTGGTGGTGCAGATCAATGAAAATCTAATTTCAATTGGTCTTGAAGCCTGAATGGAATATCTATTGTCCAAAAATTTGGGTCTTAATAGGTTGTCTAATTATCCTTCAATGTATATTTGCAAGCCCTACGAAATGATTTTTTAATTCTGCGAAATCAAGGTTGATGCGTCATTATATAATCGTAACCAAATATCCTCCAAATTTCATTAGTCTTCATATAAACATCATTAATTGCATCAGAAATCATGCATTTCTGCCGTCCTATGAAGAAGGCATAGCCCCCTCATGCCAAATATATAAATTCATATCGATGAATTAATTGTAATGTATATATTCCCGCAATTGGGATCGAATCTTCCATATCGAAATTCATAATAAATAATACATCGAATAAAGCAATATCAATAGGGTTTATAAATCAATAATATCTAATCTAAAGAACTACAAATATATCATCAAATAGTTATCGATTCTCATAAAACAACTACAATTATGTTTAATCTAGAAAAAATATATCTTAAATATATATATATAAAATTAATCCTCAATTCATCTTTATATTTATATAATATTATAAATATTTACAATTTCCATATGTCAATAAATATATATCAATTCATATGTTTAATAATTATTAATTCTATTATATCATTCAATAATATCAATTATATTATCATTATATATATTCGATTCAAATTGATTATGTTAATTGAAATAATGAAACAGAATATATCTAATAGATATATATTATATCTTTTCATCTATATTGGTGCTAAATAAATCTTGATATTTCTTGACGTAAATATTTATCTATTCTAATCAGACAAGGAATCTCTCCCTGCACCGCCTTTGTTTGCCTGTGTCATGCCATGTGTCTAATGCATTCCCCATAACACAAGGATGCATGGAATATCCAGGCAATGCAAAAGAATATACAGGAAAATTAAATTCATAACCAGGAGAGATTTTCAATTTATTGGTGTCTAATATTTTTTTTTGTTGGGTTCATGCACTTCCAATTTCTTGAATCCACCAAGAATTGATGATTCGATTTTTATCCGTATTTATCTTTGGATTCTTAAGGGACAGGCATATCCCCCCATTTCATTTTCAAATTTGGTGCCTTCCGCTAAATCTTTTCGAGGTTTTGTTTTTGGAACCGTTTTTTTATCTTTTTGTTATCTTTTATTTATTCTTCTTCTTCTTCTCCTATTTATATCTTCTCTTTTTTATTCTATGGATCATCTCTAGGAAAATCATACCTGTAATCCAAGGATTTGGATCTCATATCCACCTTTTGATCCATATCCCATGGATCGAATTATAAATTATATATTTGGATACATAATCCAAATCTTATATTTCTGATCGCAATTATATAATATTTGGATCGTATCGTGATCTATTTCAAAAATTCATGTAAACATATTTCAATATATATTTGCAGCTCTACAAAAACGAATCAAATATCCAAAAATTAAGGCAATAAATATTATAAACGAAAACATATTTGCAAAATATAAAGAATTGGCTAATAGAATAACATATGCATTATTATATAAATATAATCCAAGAATAATTTATTTATCAATTATTTGTTTATATCAAGAATATTTTTTCTAAACAATAATTAATCAGGCTATATAAAATATTCCATTAAAAAAAACTATATATATATAAATCATCATAAATAAAATTCAATATTCGATATAATAAGTCTCGAAAAAAATATATATTTTCTTTAAACCAAATCAATTATTATATATAAAATTGCGAAAAGATTTTTATCCATCGAATTTCAAAATAAATAATAGAATCCATATAATAATAATAGCAAAATAAATAAATTCATAAAATTTAAATAAATACATATATAAATTAGAAAATAATAATCGATTATCATAAAATAATTATATATATTTTTTTTTAAATATATTTTCCATATATCAATTCGTATATAATAATTCATAATTTTGATAATATCATTCTGTTATATCATTCAATAATATCAATTACATTATTTTTATATATTCGATTCAATTTGATTATATTAATTATATTAATTGAAATAGAAAAAATAAAATATTTCTAATAAATATATTCTATCTTTTCATCTATGTTGGTGCTAAAAATTCCTGAGATTTCCTGACGTGGGTATTTATCCATTCTAGCCCTACAAGGAGTTTCTCCCTGCACCGCCTATGGGAAGGCTATTGAAGCTTAGGAATGGAATCGAGCACTCGGCACTAAGTCAAAAACCTCCAGCTTCCCCGGATGGATCAAAATGGGGGTTGATTGACCAAGTACTCAGGAAGGCATCCACATCACCAAAGGGTTTAAATCGCCTCCATGCTCAAAGGTCCGAAGATTGCCTAATGCTCAGCCGACTTCGACTGGCCAGGGGCAATCCTAAGACAACTTGAACTTTCAACACTTAACGAACATGTTTGCATTGCTTTGGAGTGGACAGAACACCCCCCGGCAGGATTGAAGATATGACCTATGGTCACGCACACGCGGAATCTCTTCAGCGCCACGACGATGGGCAAACATTCAAATAGATCGTCTACGAGCTTCCCAAAAATTTGGAGGCCCTCCAACAAGCTGTTTCTTGGGTGGAGAGTCCAATCTCATAGATGAGTGGATTGAACAGAAATCCGTAGCGCCGGAGACTACCGCCTCAAAAGCACAAATTGGCATCGAAAAACTCTGGTTTCAGATGAATTGAACAATTTTCGATTCAGTCGGTGCACCTTGGTGCCTACGACATCTTCGAAAAAGCTTTGTTACAGCACCGTTGTGCCGGAAAAACGGGGCCGGAATCGCAGCTGAACGGGTGCGCTTCCCACCTCCCTTCAAGAGCGAAGAACTTGCAAATCCGGACCTCTGGAGGAAACGAGTGGATGGCAACCACAAGGATTTCCATCTGTCTTGGTGGCATCAGGTGAAAATGTACATGCCATCATCACTGCCCTCAGCCTGCGCGAGCAGCACACATCCCAAAAGGATCCAAAGTTGTTGAGTCGAGCAACTAATCAGGAAATAAGGTTCTGTCAAGAGTCAAGACGTTCATATCTCTTCAACTAAACAAATCCAGTTTTCCCCCAAAGTGAGATCAGTTCTCTTAGAAGCGGTTTGCTCACGACGTCAAATGGCCTTCTGCACGGCAGTGCAGCGGGACGAGACTCGCCACAAGGCCTCACAACTCAATTTGACTGGAAAGCTTAAATCGATTGTCATGTGCAACGAGTCAGGGCTTTCTGCAACAAACATCACTTTGACGACCCTCATTCCATCGAAAGTTCCCCACCTAGTTGGTAGCGAAAAACAACATCATGCAAAGCACATCAAAGCACACTTTCTGGGCGTCAGTTCTTGTAGCGAGAAATGTCAACCTGCTTCTGCCAATGATTTGGGTTTCAATCTGCTTCTGCCAGTTGTGACAAATGGCCTGTTCTCATCTCATCAAAGTTCAGTAACTGCCGGTTTTTCAGGACACAATTCAATGAAGACACATCACAAATGGGGAGTCGGGCACAACAATTGAAGACACACAAGTGAAAACCCGCTGTTTTTTGACCTGCCTTGTGGATGGGCGTCGGGTCATAGAGGTAGAGATCTGGGAATTTCTCCTGTCGAACAAACACCTCGACCCTCAAATGGCCGCCAATGGCTCGAATGGATGTATCTCAACAGTATCAAAAGCATACCCAAGAACCAACCTGCAGGTGAGCAGCCATGTCAAATGATGTGAGGCATAAATGCCTTTACCATCCTTTACCGCAATCCTTCTTGTACAGGGAAGTAACAGCAAATATCTCTGCCTGGTAGAGTAAATTGTGTCAAAAAAGCAAATTTACACTAGTTCATAGCTCTGGATATCTGAATTTAATCTCGCTATTCCTACTGGTTGGCATTGGTGAGCTTGCATGTTCTAAACTTTTTGGCAATGTCAAACAAGGATCAAGAATAACTCTTCTTGCTCTTGCGTTCTTTTGCTGTTTTTGCCTCAGTTAACTGATGTTAACTGTTCCTCCACCATATCCCACCATCAACCCTTCACTACTTATCCATCAGTTTCACTGGCTGATGAGTCATTAAACAAATCTCTGAAAGGAGGTCTGGAAGATTCCCTCTAGATTCCGATCAGCTCTGCAGATTTTCCGCATTCCCGCATGCCCCGCGCGCGGCATTTGGAAGTCCTTCAAAGCCTCAGTGGCCTTCTTCGCCTCTGGGAGATGCGAGTCGACTCCCACAAATTCGGTCGAGACCCCATGTCACGGCCACGAAACAAACCTTCAACGCAACATGGTTCCTTTCTATGCCAAGCTATGTTTTTTTCCAGCAAGCAATTGGTGACTCGATTGAGATTCTTTAGAAAACACATACAAATCTGGGCCCGCGATCTTCTGCAAACATCTGCAAACCATTCCACCCTCCTGCCTTGTAGAAAGGAATGGAGGCGCACACATGATGTGCCACGTGCGTAGAACCTATCCTGGCAAGCTCAGGTGTGTGACTGGACTTGATGCCGTATCCGATCAACAATTGCCACACCCGAAAAGTACTTGTAGTGACAAGAACAGTGCACACATCAACCACCCATTCGGCAACACCACTGGAGAGCATGCAACGGCACACTCAATAAAGGACCAATGACTCTGTCTGACATCCAATCATTCCCCCATAGGGCAAAGCAAAAGCCGTCAAACGTCCAATTGATTTGCAAATATGAACCGATGTGCCAGTGTATGACCGAAGCTTCTCAGCAACACTACCGAAGCTTCGCACGTATTCCTATGTCCAACCTACTAGCAATGGCCTCCAACCAAATTGCGATGGCCTCCAACTTACTCAAATCTACTAGCAATGGCCTCCAACCTAATAGTGATGGTTTCCAACCTACTAGCGATGGCCTCCAACATAATAGCGATGGCCTCCAACCTCCTAGCAATGGCCTCCAACATCCTACTAGCAATGGCCTCCAACCTAATAGTGATGGCCTCTTGTTACTAGCAATGGCCTTCAACCTAAAAGCGGTGGCCTCCAACCTACTCGCAATGGCCTCCAATCTAATGGCGACGGCCTCCAACCTAAAACCGATGGCCTCCAACCTAATAGCGATGTTCTCCCTTTGTCGCATGCTTCCTCCAGGAGTACGGTCAAACAAATTCAGCTCCAGTACCGTTGGAAGCTTTCGGGCATTCGGGGCCGACTTCATTTCCCAAACAACACGCCTGTGGTGAAAGTAGTCCAGCACAGGGCCTGACACAATTTTTGAACTTGGTGGGTGGTGGGCCAACATGACAAGTGGCCAAACCAGTGTGAACAGGGTTGATTTGTGGCAGAAGGACCAGGCAACAATTACAGATATCCCTTTCAACCATGTTTCTTCCAAAGTCAGAAAACAACAACAACAACAAGAACAACAAAGTACAAAAAACAACTGCACTGCAGCCCCGTTACAACATATCTTGTTCCTTTGTCTCTACAAGGGGGTGGAAACAACATCTTCAGCCCCGTCGTTGTTTTTTGAACCCCCCCGAAAACAACGAGCCAACAAGTACTTTTACCAGTAGTGGTAGTGCTTGCATCGTTGTAGTAGTAGTCGTGGAGTAGGAGTAGGAGTAGGAGTAGGAGTAGGAGTCGTCGTCGACGTCGTCGTCGTCGTAGTGGTAGTAGTAGTGGTAGTAGTAGTGGTAGTAGTAGCAGCAGCAGTAGTAGGAGATAGTAGTAGCCTGTAGCCTAGTATTAGTAGTAGTACCAGCAGTAGTAGTAGCCAGTCAGCTAAGCCTCTGTAAAACTTCAACTTGGAACCTCTACCACATCCTAGAGACAAAAACTGCAGCCCCGTTGTTGCTTTTTGGATCCCCCCTCAAAAGGTGTTGTCGTCTCTGCTCCCTCCTAGAAACAAAGACTCCACCCCGTTGTTGTTTTTTGGACCCCAAAGTTACCAAGTTACAACATGTGACAATTATGTTGGGCGGCTGTTTTTGTTTCTACCAACAACAACAACAACATCAACATAAAGGCAAGTAGTAGATAGTAGTGGTTCATCTTGCCTCCCTTGATCTTCACGTGTGGGGTTCATAGGGAATCAAAGGATCCTCATCCCGAAACCTTGCAAATCATGCAGGAACATCCAGGCAAGACTCACCCACCACTCCACAGGTTGTAAGTCAATGCCACAACAGAATAGGCAGCAGGGATCTAACATAGCTCTGGTTGCAAGTCCACCAGGAAACCACACCAAGCAAAAACCAAAGGGTGGACCAACATGGACCAACAGTATGGCTTCAATATCTTGGTCTGGAATCTGTCTCCTCTCAAAATTGGGATTCCAAGGGACACTCACTGTGACATATTATCCAGGACCCAGGACCCTTTGACTCTGATGGATGCCAATTCGATTGTCACGGAGATTGTGGTCCCATTGACACGTGCGGTCGGTCCAGGCCAAGTCCCTGGCCGTAGGGCCGGTCCACTGTGTGGAAGGCACCCTTCACCCAGGTCCAGTTGTCCTGGCGTCATCGACCTCCCTGGCCGAAGTCGCAACCTTTGGTTTGGAGCGATCGGACCCTCCGAACGGAGCAAAGGGCATCGCTACTAGGGGCTCCTGGCCTTACTACTAGGAACAAGAAGCTACTAGGAGCAAAGGGCCTCCAAAGTCTGCACATGCATGGTCTGCTCATGTACATTGCATTTGATTTTGATTGCTGACTCATGACATCTCATGACTTATGACCATATGCCGCATCCTTGTCAAAATGGGGGATGTCCACGTCAGTGTGCTGCAACCAGGTGTACAGCACCAACCAGCAGTTGGTCACCTCAGGAATCACTGCTTTTCAGCAACCGTCCAAATTGTTTGGTTCCTACTGTCTTGGTGTGAATAAAGGCCATATGTTTGGGGTGTTAATGGGCATGTTCAACTGTTCCAATTTGTTCGTGCTCACAGAAATGGCAGTGAAATATGCAAGGTTGGGCGAGAAACCTGTGACATCTCCTTGCTTGCGATCTCTGAAAGTCGCGCTGTGGCCACAATATTTGTCCAGCGCCCTGAGCTCTGAACCATCAAGGGTGCCAGGTAGAGAGCGAACACACTGGTCCAACTCGTTTGCTTGGCCTTGCGTGTTTCGCTCATGGTGCACACTTCCTAGTCTCTGCCTTGATTTGTTCTTATCACAAACAACTCAATGCCTCCACTGTATAAAACGAGTTTGAAGCCGACATTGGACCAGGAAATTTATCAGCAAGCCATGAGGCCAAACAATTTTATGTTCACATGACAAACACGAACAACTTGTCAATTACAAAACAGTGTCTTCTCCGCATGTTTTTCACTACACACTCGCAATTTGATCTCCAACAGCCTTGAAATGTTCAACCCAACCTTGCCAATGAACCTAAAGACCTAAATGTTTTCTCCATAACATCTAAAAATCGCTTTGACAAAAAACATTTTTCAACTTCAACAGCAACCTTCTGCTGAATAATTAATTCAATTCATTGCGTCAATAATGAACACGTCAGACATGTTCTAATAATTACAGTACGGAACATGAATTTCAGTAGTAATCATACCTAACCTTCTCAACCATGTTAATTACAGTAATCAACAATATCCTTAACAAAGTATATAATACAAGGTTTTTTCCCACCAAATTCTGAAAAACTGCTTAAAGTCGTGTCATTTCCTTCTCAACTCCGTTCACTTGCTTTTTTGGTACTTTCCAATTGTAAGGTCCGAGGTTCTTTTATTGCGGTAGAGTTTAACTATGGTGGAGGAAAAACGTGTCCGCCCCGTCTTCTCAACCTAGGGACGGTGTTTATTGTTGCGATGTGATGTGAACATAAAACACATGGATACAAATGCGACGTGCGCGCATCCCTCCCAGTCAGGTTGCCATCGCAAACTACACTGGGTACACCTTATCTTTGATGCTCTACGAGCTCTGAAGCATCTGCGCACGTTCCTGAGCACAAGGCCCACCAGAACACGAGTCCAGCCATCGCAACGATGCCGAAGTCGGAAAGCAACACCTGGCACAGAAAATGGATCGTCAATACACTTCGTAGCATCACACCCAGGAGTATGTCAATTTGTTTGCAATGATTTGCTTTGTTTGGATCATCACAAATGAGAGTAGTATCCACCCGAGGATGACTGGAAGTAGCTAACTGTTGTGGCACCCAAAGCATGTAGAAAAAAACATGATGTTTCCTTATGGGCTCTGTGGATGAAGTCAGCACCCATGCCTTTTGGGAGGTCCAGCAATGCTCTTGCTGAGATGTAATGTAGATCCCAGTTGTTGCTTGTAATTACCACCTGGAGTCTCGATACCTCTGCCAAGTTCAAATCCCTACCTTCAAGTAGGTGTCATCAATCGTCAAAGAAGACCAATTATTTCAGTGTCGTTGACCCTACTTTCCATGGTGTGCAAGCACTATTGGTTGTTGGAGCAAGGATCCTAAAATATCCTAAATGTAGTTCTTGATTCAGCAAACGGACAACAGACGACGACTTGGAAAGCTCTTTGCTCCGGCCCACTCAACCACCACGCCTTCTTCTTCCACACGCCCGGAAAGAGCTGCTTCTTGCCATTATCAAAGGGTGTAAAAGGCCTGGAAGCACGCAACGACCAGGCTGCTTGAACAGGGCGAAACCAACAAAAGTGCGAGTATTCCAGCATGTCTAGCTACTAGTAGCAAGGCACAATACTACTAGTAGCAAGAAGCTACTAGTAGCTCCTGTCATTACTACTAATTAGGAACAACAAGCTACTAGTAATAAGTGCATTGCCTGATGATCTCGGACACTTGGCCACTCCACGTGTCACAAGTGCCCCTCTAAGCTACGGGCCACATGTGATTGGTGTTGCCGTAGGCCGGCCCACCAGTGGCCCCTGCGATAATGTACCTGAAATCGCTTGTGGACGACTCACCAGCAGCTGACCATGCTTGGCTCATCATGGCTCAAACTCATCTAGAGATCCAAAATGTTTGCAAACTTAGAACGAATCACAAACTACTCAGCTGACAAACTTACGTAAGATTAGGGCATCTAAATCTATGTCCTTGTTTGGGCCAACTTAGAACTTTGGTGATTGACTTCTGGAACGATGTTGCTGCGAAGAAGGGTGGGACAGCATGGGACAGCACTGATCCATCGCTTTGAGCTCCCTCCCCAAACAGGTCGAAACCTTGTCCAAGACATATCTTGCTGGTAGCATCCATCCTTGCATGTCTACTTGGGGTCAAACAAATCACAAAGAATCCATAAACATGTCCAACTTGGTGAAAGATTAACACAGTCCCACTCCACAGCATCCCACACCATTCCCAGGCCCCAAGCTCACGCAGGCCAACCCAGGACCAAGTGTGTGACCAAGCGGATGCAGGCCACGAAATTCTGGCCTCGGTCCAAGCGATGCGCCTGGATCCGACCACGGGTGTTGATGACTTGCCGTTTCTCCGTGCACGGGAATGATGGCCACTCGAAGCACGAATTCGGTCTACATTGGATGATAATGGGTAGACTCCACGCAGCTGTGGTCCGACTGCTATGGTGTGCCATCTCTGGAGACGGCTGAATCTCAACACCCCTAGCCCCTAAGGATCTGTTTCGTCCTCAAGCCTGCTGCCTACCCCATAAACACCTCCAAGTAGGTCAATCTAAGGCGTGTGACAGTCATCTCCAAGAATTTATGTAAGCCTGAATACCGTTTTCAAGCATCCTCTACGACTTCTTAGTCGAAGGCCCATGGGCAACAAATTGGCCAACTTGTTGTACTTGTTCTTGTTTCCCTTTTGCAACCTGCCGCAGTGAAACAAAGGCAAATCAAACCAAGCATCAGAATCTACACTAGGGCAAACAGAGCTGCTAAAAGCCTGTCTAAATATATAAATTGACAAACTGATTACACTCACTCAGTGTCCCAGTTCAGTTGAAGCTGGAAGACATTGGGACGCATTTCATTTGCATCCCATGGCCTGGGGACGTGTGTCTCTCCCTCGGTCATGTGGTTGGTCTTCGAGTGGTGTACGGCATGAGACCGTTGCCAGGAGAAGTATGGGACCTGAGACAATGCGAGCTTAATGAACTGAAACTTGAAAATATCTCGAACGTGTTGATGATGTGCACCAGCTTCTGAAAGCATAAAGGGTATTCGGGGCAACGCAAAAAATACTCAGGTGCTAATGCCGGCTTGCAAGCGTCCAACATGTTCCCGAAAGTCAATGATCCAAACCTTCCAAACATTCAAGGGTCCGAGTCTGCTTCCCTCAACTTTCCCCATCTGTGCCAACTCCGAGTCCGCCGAGTCCAGCAAGTCTCGAGTCCAATCGACAGCACTGAGGCATGCACCATCAGTGCGCTGTGGAGGATCTCAGTGTTGTCAACAGGCAAAACGGGGTCGATCGAATCCCCAAAGGGTGAGGATTCTGCGGTACCACGAAACTACCGGGGTTCAAAGAAAACTTACGAGAATGAAACTAACGGAGCCGCAAACGAAAGTTCTCAGCAGGATGCCTAACGGCTTTCTGCAGGAGGGAACGACCCAAACTGGGGTTGGTGATGCTCTTCGGGTCCGGTTTTCACCTTGACATGCCAAAATGTTCACACACACACACACACGCGCGCATAAAGCTCCTACAAGCATGTTGTCCAAACATTTAGGCTCAACACTAGGCTCAACCCATACATGACGAAAATCTTCCCTCCTTAGAGGGAGAGGCCCTCCTCAGCCCCCTCCAGGACTATTTTATATTTTTTTGTGGGTACCTCAGCTAATTAATTGAAACGTGTTGAACTAAAAAAACAGTGTTGTTCAAATATAGGTAGGGTCGAGTGTATTAATCGAGGGGACCTTGACCTCAACTTTTGGTGAATAATTGAGCTTATGCAGAGTTCAAATCCAAAGTACATGAGACGTCAACCACCTATTGATTATGATTCACAACTGCACGCATCTCTCATTTTTATTCATGTCACGGAAGAATCATTCCATCAAAAATTGAAGTCTTTCTCGGCTACCCCCTAAAAATTGTTCCACAACAAGTATTTCAAAATATTTCGATCATTCACTTAGCCATTGGAGATACAGTACTGGTAGGTATTTAAGGCACCCAAAATCAACACCGTGTCCAATAGTTAATCCACTTGTGGTTAACTCCTGTCACACCGTGTCTTTCTTTCTTCTGTCACAGCTGCCAGAAAGTAATCAGCCCCCCCCAACTTCCCATCCCTCCAATTCAGCCTAATTAATTAGACCCTGTTGAGTCTGAGCATGACATGCCTGGACTTTTTGAGGGGTACACCCTCTGTGATTTTGCACGAATTTGAAAAAGTAATCCGGAACTATTAATTCGTGTGACTCAGGGGACCCTGATTATTTTCCTAAGGTTGTGTAGATAGACGAAACACACAATTGTTCCTGGGCCATTCGTGTAGTTCGCCTGTGGTGTCCTCTCCCGTTCTCATCTATGACTATAGCATTGGAAAGAAACTCACTGGGCAGATCAGGAGCGAAGGTGAGCGAAGGGATGTTCACATGTGCCATGGGATAACAACGCATTCCATCCCCAAACTCCTGGGATCAACTCGCCCAATCGGACCTGGTGCCACCCTCCTCTTTTAGGCTCGTCTCAACATCAAGGACCAAGGGACAAACATTAAGTCCACATTGGTTTGGATGTTTGGACAATCCATGTTGGGGCTGGTCACCTCTGGGCTCGATCAAGCAACCATCCCATGTCGAATGAGAAGAGCACCCTCCAGTTCTAAAGATTAAGACATATATATTGATACATACAATACCCATTAAAATAGACTCGAACGTTTCTTCGAACCATGCAGCAGCAAAGCTAAAATCTTTGTGCCGAAGCGACATAGCCCACGGTGGTCTGCAGCCACTTCTGTTCACAGAAGGCACTGTGGCCGCACTCATGGCCTCGATGACTCATTAGAGACAAAGGAGAAGGAGCAAGTGCTGATGGGTCAAGACACAGTCTCGCAAAAAACACGCACAGCAAATAGAGACACAATGATATACAATGTATTGAACACACTTTCTGACTCTGCGCGAACGAAGCTTCTTGAAAAGGAGAAGGCAAGCTACATCTGATGGACATGATATGACATGATTCACATGACTTATGACCTACATTTCTGTCTCACATTTCCGCCAGCAAAGGGCATAGTCTTCAAATCAATCTGACAGTCTGTTGTTTTTTACCGCCCGTGAACGCCCCCCCCGCTCTTCTTTAAACGCCCTTCTGAGCGCCGAACCAATGACCCAAGGCCCAGTCGCCATGGTGCCCTGAACCACGGCGTAGATGATCCAAAGGGGAATTGCCGCGGCAGTCCTTCAGCGATGGGTCGGATGCCCACAATGTCCTAACGTGGGATGTGATGTGCAAGTTGAAATGTCATTCATTTCCTCCAACCTACTGGCGAATGGCCTCCAGCCTACTAGTGAATGGCCTCCAACCTAAGAGCGGCCTCCAAGTCCATGATTGCCGTTAATACATCAATCTCTGTCGCCACCCCTACTCGAGGGCCCAACATCGGGATGTACTTCCACGCCAAATATCCACAAAGGAGCACCTCAAGTCAGCACATCCAGGCCATCCAGATCTCTGGTGCTCTCGAACTTAAATTAACCCAAAACATCTTGGGGACTCATATGGCTTGTGATTCCAGTGTGTTTCTGAGCTCTTTTCCCAGCGTTACTTTGCGCAATTCAATGCAGGTCAAGAACCACGCAACAACTCCCATCAAGGTCGTCCATGTGAAGAGCGGTGTGAACACACGGTGCGTGGCCGCCGTTTGGACGCACGGTGCGTCTCGCCGGCGCCGAATCGACGGCCTGGAGGGTCGAAGTGGCGGCATGAGCCAAAGAACGAAAGGTCCTCAGCCAGCGGACCCTCCAAGCTCCACCAAGCTACTCCGGCGATGGGCTGAGCGAAGGGTGCAAGGGGGAACCGAGCCGAAAAAGACGTTTGACTGGATTTGCTAGTGTTTGTGTCTGTTTTGGGGGCTCCAAGATGAAGTACTATGGCTGACGGAATCCATTTCTGTGTAAACATCAGGGGGTTGAACACATCACATCGCCCGACCATATCCATGACCAAAATACAGGCAAAAGGCTCTTGCAAGCAACCCAAAATCTTTACCCTGAAACTTGAGCAACACATATCGTGATTTGACTGGCGCTAGCTGATGCACATGGTCTTGTGGTGTTACATTGCGGAGTATAAGTGTTTGAGTAGAGTCACTTGAGGCATATCTGAAAATAGAGTAAACGCACAACAATATATAGACAATAACTAACATCCCAACTATCATCATCATGTCACCTGCAAGATATGTCAGCAAATGCAAACTGCATGCCTTTCCTGACCTCCTTCAGTCTTTTTGTTGCTCTTGACCACAATGCAAGAAATGGTCAGAGCGATTAGTATGGATCGCTCAGTTCCAGGGGCTCCACCACCAGGCGTCCGGGCTCCTTCTTGAGGCAATCTTTGGGGATGGCTCCAAGCACCTCTCCTTTCGTCGGCCATTGCCTCAAGATCAAACAGGAACAATGAACAATCAAAACTAAACACCAAACCAAAGGTAAACAGCTAAACCAAATATCTCAAACAAAACAAACATGAAAATATCAAATCAAGACTCCCCAGGCCCTCCTCAGGATCCCAAACTCGCTTGCCCGAGCTAAGGAAGCTGTTTACAGCAGTCGGAACTCAAAGGCTCTGAAGGTCTTCCCTCTGGAGGAAAGGTGGTGGTGTAGCAGAGAGGGGAGGAGGGGAGGAGGGGAGGGTTGACTGTAAATGGCTTGGGTTTGTGAAAGCGTGGTGACTCTAGATGGCGCAGTAGATGGCGCAAACTGACACGGTAGTTGGAGGACAAACGGGGAGGGCCGGGAGTCGGGTGGGATTGAGGAGACGAATTCTATTGTTGTGTTGTGCCCGCCATCTCTTGAGGAGTCAAACAGCGCATCTATTTACTGTTGTTGAACCACCCAACTGATGTTCAAGGGGTTGGAGCTTACGGCCTAGGGGCCGCAAACGGACTTTTCAGGTTTCGCGAGTCAAAGAAAACCTTGTCAAACACTGCCCAAAGCTCTCCAGTCACTTCCTGTGCCGCTAGACACTTCACACAAAGAAGCAGTGTTTCTCTGTGTTCAGGGGCGGTTCTGTGATGCACTACTGTGGCTTTGTCATTCGTTCCATGTTACTTATTTTATGTTGATCCATTTTCCTTTGATTCAGGCTTCCTTGCTGTCTTTAATGGCACTTTAGATGGCATATGTTTCAATCGCACATATACGGAACAAGGGGAGGGTTCAGCGCCATGTGCTTTGCACGCAGTGTTTGTTTCTCTTGCGCCATCTACTAAAGCAATGGTTTTCCTACCACTTTCGACAAACCTTTTCCGCTTCTGCAACATCTACTATAGCCGCGAACGCCCAATTTCGAGGGGTCGAGGAGGAGGTTGGACAGCGCAGCGTAAAGTGCAAGTGCGTGGCGCGCAAACCCTGCAAAAGTGACATATCTCAACGACCATGGTAACACCATCAGCTAAAGCAGCAAACAACAGAAAACAATGCTGTGCCGACTGGTGGGGTGGGACTGCAACACACATCTAACCTTTTGGAATTGTCTCGGAAACAGTCGTTTTGTTTTCCGGCCTACCCGCAGTTTCCACCCCACCCTTTTCATCTGCCCAGCTGCTTGCGCTGCTTCAGGGCAGCGCCGCTTAAGCCACCGCGTTCCAAAGCCAACCTTGGGCAAAACCGTGAATCAGTGACGCAGTGCTGGACCCTCCCTCCCCCGGAGTCAACCTCTGAAGGCATCTGATGCGTGTTTATGCGTGTTTCACTGTTGCAGGGCATATCTTCCCAAACGGTCACTTTCTGCATTTGTCCACCATGGCGGTATTTTATACGGGCAACAGGTGGCTGATTTATTTTGGGATGACCCCTCCCATGTTGGCTGGCGGTGCCCAAAGCGAGGTTGCAAAAGGACATCATATTATCAATGTTATTCTCCGGCAGATTCCGGCTCTAGTACTCATCTTCTGGCTTGCGGCTTGAAGTTCAAGATGGTGCTTGGAGCATCAGTTCAGTCCTCCTCTTTGCCTGGGTCTTTCCTTGTGTCACGAGGATCAAACTGCATCAAAGGAACTCAAGCCTTTCTTTGAGGACATCGTTACCCTCCACGTTCCAGCCTGTCAGGATTGATCGGCAAGCGCTCAGCTCGGCTCAGCTCATCTGGGGTTCCATTGACACGATCGCGACATTGGCGTAAGAAATACTAAATATGAAACTGCTCTGCTTCATCGTCCAACTCTAGTATTGCACTCTTGGCAAATGCAAGGAATGTCAAAAAATCCAACGATTGCCAAGCTCAGCTCACCAATCACCATGTGACAAGTCAAACCAGCTTGAAAAGTTGCCTCGGATGTCAAGGATCTATTTGCAGCACCGACTAGGACTGACAGAGTTCCGGCACGGATGGGGACCGGAAACGAGTTTCACACACCAACCCAGCGCAAACCCCACGAGCGTTGAGCTCCCCAACCCAAAGCATCAGGGCTGAGCTTGGTGCTCACCTGGCTGAGCTTTGTGCCGGCTGGATTCCAATGATCCGGCCGCCGGCCCACGTGCATCATCTAGATGACACAGCGAAGAGAAGTCACCCGAGCTGAAGGGTTCAAATGATCTTCAAACCCACAATTTTTAGCAATTCTTGACATCTGCAAGCGTCAACAAGTGACGTCACCCGGCACTTGAAGCAAGACACAATTATAAACGGTCTTGGACATCCACAACATGGATCAAAGAATACTTAGAGCCAACTCCGGAGATCCATGAGGATGGCCTCCAACCTACTAGCGATGGCCTCCAACAAACTGCACCATTTCCTTCCAAAACACCACGGCTGTGGGACCTGTGGGCTGGCAGTGGCTTGCCGGCGCCGGATGCGACGCCGAAGGCCTTTGGCCTCATTGGCGCATCACACGCATCAAACATCCTGGGAGGGTCTGAGCTGGAACTAATGAGACATGACGGACATGGAACACTTGGGGAACTTTCACGTGGGGAAGCTCTTTAAGTTAATACCTTGTATAGAAGGGATTCTAAGGGCCTATAGGAGCCGGTGGAGATCACAAACCAGTCAATGTCCTTTTCTTTCCAGCCAAGCCAATTAATTCATTTACAATCAGACCAACTAATAATTAGTGGGTTCCAACTACCGTGACTGGTGGGATCTCCACAGCTGCCAGCCTTCTGGGATCGTCACAAAGCAAAACAAGGAAGAGCTTTCTCAAGTGATTTCAAGTGGTCATTTCCATGAATGGCCGAATACATGTTCCGAAAACAGTGGATTTCTGCGTCGCTTCCAACCTTCCGCGACTGCAGTCTCAGCACTTCACACCAAAAGCAACCGGACGGGAACGGGAAAACCAAACATGACCTGACTAGTGACTAAGTCTGCTATGCAGTCTTTTGGAAACCACCATGTGGCCTCCGGAATTCCAGCAACGAATTTCGTGATTCAGCTGTAATAGTAGTGTCCAGTGTTCATGTACCTTTCGCCTTCCTTTAAACAACAACAACAACAACGACAACGACAACGACAACAACAACAACTGGATCTCAACGTAACTATGAACATCGTCGTTCTACGGCTGCACCGCAATCCACAACTTCAAGAACACTTTGGCCCTTGTTGAACCTTGTTGGACCAAGTCGATTTGCCACCACCAATGTAATGATCCCTTTTTGGCGTGACGTATCACCTTGCGATTCCGGTCTTGGACGCACTATATACTCATCACTACCCCGAATAGCAGTAACAACGAGTAGCAGGGTCGGGCAAGAACTCACTTTCCCGCGAGCCCCTTCCAGCAGAGTTATATTTAAACAAGCAGGCGCAGCAGGATGGTCGCCCCGAAAGCCCACCACGACGCCCCCATAATGCGGGAAAAGCTGCAACAGCCACAGCTGCAACAGCAAGACCGACCAAGGTCTTACCTGACAGGGTGAGTTTCCATCACGGAATGCCCTCGCCAACCAACATTTCAGGTTTGCCCCCTGCCACCTTCTGTTGGATGGGGTTGACTGGCAGGTTCCTCATTCACCTCTTGACAAGGTTGCGGACAGGTAGAACAAATTGACAGAAGGATATCAATGAGGTTGCTGGCCCGGAGAAAGAAGAAGTGAGAACAAATGCACAAGGCAAGGTGCTTCACCCACACCTTAATGGCCCTGGCATCCGTGTCGCTCTCACTTTGAACTTGAAACCCTCCTGACCCCTTCCAAGGCCTTTCCCAGACGGGGAGGATTTCGAGCTGCTGGGGGCAGTTCCTGGCAACAATCATGCGCTTGCTCAAGGGGCTCAGTGTCCGTTGTTGGCCATTGTGGGGATTGTTAGTTGATATTTCACATATTATATACTACACGTACACATATATATATATGGTAATATATGGTACTTAGATATCTGACTATCTTGCAGGATGGTAAAGCAATACGTACAATACATCCATTGACACCGCACTACGAGCCTACTTGGTCCTGCCAACATTTTCGGTTGGATGGCATAGTGAGCAAGTAAAACAAGTACTGTAGTATCAGGTGAGGGCACAAGATTGATGCTCTGTTAGTGAGAGAGGCCGCTGCATGCGAAGCAAACAACGTCACACTGCTATGAACAGGACGTTCCTGCCTGGAAGGGATCGACTGGGTACCTTCAAACGCAAGTTGCGTTGACGCCCATAGCCTCAGGTAAAGATGGTAAAGGGGATTCTCGATTCGTGGGACTCTGATCAGGGAGACAACAAATGTGGCAAGGGCAGGGCAATTTTTTTCCTTGCGGGTTCCTTGGACATGTTTATTGGACAATTTAAGGAAGATAAATTAAAATAGAATGTCAATACCCGGACGTTCTTTAGAAGGACACCATTTTGGCATTTTGAACTCTCTAGTTTTTGGCATCTTGAACTCCCTAGCTTTTGGCATACCAGTCGTGGCTTGGACATGTTTCTCATGTCCGAAATATGAGGACTCCAAGGACAGGTTTTCTCTTCTTTGCCCATCTCATGTGACGTATCCACGAAATGCAACCGGCATGCTTGACGAAGACGGACTCCATCCTGTCGGGTCCAACAAACAAAACAAAACAATCCGGCCAATCCAGTCGCATCAAATCCTGTAAATACAGAACTGGAACTGGCACGTTTTTCCAGTCACCTCTTTTCTCTACTGCGAACTATATATCACCCCCAACTTCCTTTCCAAAACCCAACGACTGAGTATCTGACCACCAGTCAAGGATTTCTGGGCAAGGCCCAGATCCGTCCTCGGAGTTCCAGTTCAGCGTGCAGGTGGGATTAAGGTTGAAACAGCGTCTCCACGCCAAAAAAACAATTGTGCAAAACGCATCTTACCGTAAGTGGTCAGGCAGTGGTTCTGTCGATGGGGTAACGGAACAAATGTATTATAGGAGAGATAAGTGTCTAAGTGAAAAAAAGTGGTTTCACTTCGTGTCTTTTGTTTTTTTGCTCTGGCTTGACCATCCACAATTTCCAAGGCTTCACATGCAAGGTTTTTTCTTATCAAAAAACGGCCAACCCCGCTGTCTAATTGATGACACGCCCAGTGGTTGCCAAGCTCTTCGTCCAAGCTGCGACTGTCCAGCATTGCCCACAGCAAAGGCCAAATCCATCCTGGTGCAGTTGGGGCACTTGGGGCTTGCGGGTGTCAAACGAGGAGATTCTCCGACTGTGTTGGGAAAACGGTGATATTCAACATCACTGATTGTGACTGTCCATTCTTATGTGAGAGTCGGCGATATCACTTTTGTTTGAACAGGATCAAGGTTGGGATGCTTGCTCCTCCCCCGATCCAAAATCACGCTTTGTTGGAACGTACGTATCTCGATTGCGGTGGCACATGACTTGGTGAGGGCTCGTCGGGACTTGTATGAAATCTAAGACCGAGTCAGGGAGATGTGGACGAGCATCCGCTGCCAATGGACAGAAATACATGTGTTTGTCATCGGGTGAGCAGCTTTCAAGTGGCCACTCGTAAGCTGAATCAGTCTACCGCGACACACAATTAGATGGTTCTGCTAAGCCAACACAACCCGGGGCTGGCATAGATCACTTCGAGGTTGAATCCTCCAGCCAAAGACTTTCACACACAGTGTCACTGCCAAAGTGGTGGACAAACCACTGCCCACGCTGGAGCTGCTGCTCTGTGACCGCTCTGTGACTTTGCCATCTCCGCTCTCCTCTCTTCCTGAAGTCCTTTAATTATTATCCCCTCGGTTGTCCGGGGGCCCTCAAGCTCTAGATTTTAGAAACATCCCTGGGGGATGGAACTTCCAAATGTTTATGAAATCCTGCACCGAGACTCCGAGTCATGAAGCGCAATTCTTTATATTTTCCTAGCGGGTTAGGTCCATCATGTATGGGTGCCTGACAACGAATTCCCTAGGAATGCCAACCAGGAGTCCTTATATTTTCCTGAGCTTAAGGACAATCAAGAGTTGTCTTTTCTCGCGGACACTGAAGTTCACAGAGTTGTGACCAAGAACTGCTTTGTCCAAACACGTCATTCTAAAACCCAGTGACCAAGACACAGTTATTTACTTATAAAATCATGTGTTGTTAAGCTTGCGAAATCCTGTGCAAATCCTATGTTTCAAGGCTGTTCCGGTTATATTTTCCTGCCAGTGACGTTGGACCTTGCAACACAAACGGCCCATAAATTTATATAAAGCGGGGATCACCAACATAAAAGCGGGGATCACCAACAGGAAAAAATAGCGATAAGCAACGGGGATAAGTATATATATCTTTTATTTTTCACGTGTAGTTGCTGACAATTCCAAGTTTCCTTACACGGCTGCAGCTGCCCATCACTCCTCTAGGTAGCTTGCAGCCCCGTTGGCGTTCCCGGATTCGCAAAGCAAGTGATGCGGCTGGCCTGGTTCTGGCGCATTTGCTCCCCTTCTGGGTCGCCATCAAAGTATATAAATCTGGCGCCACGCAATTGGTTCATGCACCAGTGCCTCTTCTCTCCATGGTTGCCAGGAGAAATCAGGAGAAGGTGGTGACATGGGGTGCCACCAACACATTCTCCTTCAAGCATGCCAAAATCAAGGGAGGGGGGCAAGGGCGGGCAGCTCGAAAGAGCAACCGCGCAAGGAAAAGTTCAATTCTATGGGGCGTCAAGTTTGGAAGCGCGAGTTACGAAAACAAGCTCAGCCGTACACAGCGCGTGGATGCATGCTGAAGTTGTTGGGATCGTGACCTTCGACTTTGTTCCATTCACGTTTGACGATGATGCAAACTCCTCGAAAACGGCTGTTCAAGAATATCAAAACTCATTCTTTCAGCGCGCCTTCTCTGCATGCAGAGCCACTACTCAAGACTCAGCAGATAGACGTATTTCTTGCCCACCTGCGGGTGGCTTCAAGGTAGAGATGTACGTGCAAAAACCTCTCCAGCACTGGCCTCGAGGAGGCCGAATTAGGTGAACATGTGTGACCGTTCTTGCATCAAGCGCAAGCTGCGGCTGTGTGGCAGAAAACAGCGGCCACTTCAAGGATGTCACCGCGCTGTGAGAAGAGAACCCACCCCAGCGAAACGAGCGAAAGCCAACCACCTGTACAATGAATTCGGGCATCTTGTATGACCCAAGCGCCACGCCAGGCCAAGAGAAAAGACCAGAAAAGCCCTCGCGGCCAGCGCGAATACCATATCCAATCGAAAAGCAAGCAGGTCTCAACTCCCAGCAAAGCGTTCAGTTCAAGACACTGTTGCACCAAGCGTGAAGAGAAACTGTGCTGTCATGCACCACCACAAGGTTTCGAGAAGCGAGCCCACCCATGGCTGGAGCAGCTCGAAAGAGCAATCACACAAGGAAAAGTTCAAATCTATGGGCCTTTTCTTGGGCCAGTCAAGTGTGGAAGCGCGAATTACGAAAACAAGCTCAGCCGTACACAGCGTGTGCATGCTGAAGTTTGTGGTATCATGACCTTCGACTTTGTTCCATTCACATTTGACGATGATGCAAACTCCTCAAAGACGGCTGTTCGAGAATATCAAAGCTCAAGTGGAATGTGGTGATCAGGGTGCTGCTGCCTCTCCATCCAAGGCTGTGGGTGTGGGTAACTCTTTCCTGGACATATCTGCTTGCCTTTTTATCGTGCGGCTGCTGTCGTTCGGGTTATCGTTCCTGGACCATTGCTGGGCGCTCTTCGCACAGAAGCGCGCAAACTGGTCTCCCAAGTGCGTAAGCAGTGCCAGCCAAGCCCAAATGCGGCTGCCAAGCCCTCAGTTTGACATGCAGAAAAGGCGCGTGCAAGCGCACCTGAGTTTGGCAATATCCGCGCCGCAACTGTAGCAAATCGACCCTGTATATATACACGTTGTCAGCTCGTTTTCCTGTGCTCTCAGCGCTTGACAGCGGGGCAAATCAAAGCCCCGGAATGGTCTTACAACAAATCTTTGAGCCCGGACCAGAATGGCTTCATGGATTATCGTCCACTGCACAGGGCCAACGATAGGTGCAAGCAAATCACCATGAGCCTCACCACGAGATACCAATCTAGGCTATCGTTCTCTGCGCAGGCCCCAGGAAACATGCAAAAATAAAGCCTTTCACGCTAGAATTAGCTGCAGTACGGCTTCTTAAATCCTTTCTTAAGCAATGTTTGGTGCAACTCCTCATAGAATCCTTACATCGGAGTCTTGAATGTAAGTCAAGTGAGCCATCCCAGCCCACAACACCCCTTACAACCGACTGGGCGCCCAAGCACGCAAGGAGATCTCTGTCAGCCGGCTGCAGATGCGGAGTATGCCAAAACTTTGAGGCCCTGAGTAACTGCGGGTTCCACATAGCACAGCTCGGCAACGCTCGGCACAACCAGTAAACTGCCACTTCTACACCAAAGACCTGTGCAAGCTGTTCTGTCCAGCTTGGACCGGAAGTGACCCGGAAGGAGAATGGGAACCGGAAACCATACAGCGACAGGCAGGGAACCAGATTATGATCAAGCGTCTCATACTGTCGCTGAGTTGCTGTGAAAAAGCCTTTTGTTTAGAATGTCACAGGCATCCTCAGCCGTTTATGAAAGCCGCCACTTTTGGCTCCCTTGACGTCCGGCACCACGGCGGCTTCGCCTGACTGCGTTGATATTGAGCCACGGCCAAGGACCAAGTGCTTTGTCCGATGCACTGCTGTGCACCTTCTGAAAAGTCCAGCAATTTCTGAATACTCTCCTTTCTTTGTCATATTTGTTCCAAAGGGGCATCTTCCGCATTTTCACCATTTCCTCAACTTTCTTGGCTACACGGTGCAATTTTAGCTACTTATACCCTTCTAGAACCAGTTGATAAGTCTGCAGCATGGAAGCATAAGACCTGTTGAGCCAAAACAATTGTCAGGTTGCTTAAGAGTACTGCCTTGAGAAAGTCTGCCCAGAACCACCTTGGAATCGCCATCCTCTGACCGGAGCTCGGCAACACGTGTTGGCAAGCTTTCTAGGTAGTGCCTTTGGCACGTTCACTCGTCAGGCAAACCTTTGGCCCCGCAACTTGGAGGAACCTCAAGGAGAGCTGTGATGTATCTGGCTGTCTACTTAGTGTACTAGGCACGAACATGCGCACAAAGAAACCGATTGTTCTGTGTTGAGCCAAGTGACCCGTCAAGCAAGTGAATTAAAAAATATGTGTATACATACAAAAATATTTTTAGATCGTTTTAGTGTAGATGACCAAAATAGATGCCTCGGGCTCCTTTGCGTGGGAGGAATCTTTGAAGGATTGCTTTCAGGGTAAAGGCAAACAGGGAACCTTCAATGATTGCGATTGCGGCGTTGTGTAAGGGAATTATCATGTTGCTATCTATTTATTTGGTGCCATGGATGTATCAGAGGGGATAAGCAATGAGTTTAAACATATCAAACTCATGAATGAGCTTTCTCAAAGAACCATGATAACCATGGGCGGCAGTAGGGCTTCAGGAAGCCACTTGCTGGTGCCCCTTCAAGCCTCACCTTTGGGTAGGGTTCATGAGGTCAAACACTATAAACAACCAACTGAGTAGGTGATGTTGAAAGCCCAGAAAAGCCCTCCCACCAGAAAAAATGGAACTAAAGAACCCTTGTTGGAGGGACCCACTTCATTTCGGAACCCTTCTTGGAGGGACCCTTGTTGCTGGTGTTCACCCTTGTTGCATGACGTTTCCATGTGCATCCTTTCGTTTCGGAGGGGTCGCTCCCCTCGATTTCTGCAAAGGTCTCAGATCATGAGGGCCACCGAGGCAGCGCCGGATCTCCTGAAGTCACACGTGCCAAATCTCAAAGAACCGTTCTTTTTTGTTCTGGATTTTTAGGGAAACTTAATAACAATGGCCTCCAACTAGTAGCGATGGCCTCCAACCTAATAGCTCATATGGTTTCAACTGGAGCGTATCAAGGGACACTTGGACAAGCATGTCATGATTAATAAACCCTATCGGTTGGGGGCCGAGCTAACTATTTCAAGAATCACAAATCTACATTGTAACATTTCTTCATCTTCCAAATCCTTCTTTCGTCTTGATTGGACAAATTCAAGCAAGGCTGTCACTGCAGGCTGGGATGTCAAACGACTCGCCCATATTTGGGCGTTGTTCTTGGCGTTGTTTTTGACAAGTATCTGAACACACTTTGAGGGAACCGGCTTCGAAGTCACATAACATTGCATCTCTTTGTTTCTCTTTGGACACGATCTTGATGTAAGCCACACAATCTACTAGACTCTACTATAGACTTGCTTCGTCAACCACCAAGCCGTCCCAGGGCTTCCCCGTCCTTTCGGTCATGTCCGGCAGTTGGGACCAGGTATTGGCGACCGGATCAAAGCGTTCCGAGGAGAGCAAGCACTGGCGGCCATTCGGGGATGGCAGGTCATTCGGGCCACAGGAGCCGTACTTGAAAAAAAGAGATATCTGAACGAATCATAGCTACTAGTGGCGAACGAAGCTATACACGGTGGAGGCCACTATTAGGTTGGAGGATGTTGGAGGCTATATATCTAGTAATTCGATGGCAGATTTCAAGCACTCAGATCAAGCAAACTGCATGCAACACTCCAAGTTCCAAACTCCTTTCAGTGCATATCACCAAAAAACGCTTGGAAACAAGAACGACCACCCAAATGATCAAGCACACATTACTATGGATTCGCTTCTGCAAAGAACATCCCATCGGTCCCATCGGTTCCAGAAAGAAAGTGAACCCTTCAAGTCGGAAGGATTCTGAAGGTTTGGTTTGACCCCCAACCACCAGCGAAGCGGATTGGCTTCACACTCTTAAAAAAAAAAACAGAAGTTGCTAGGATGATAAAATGCCAATGCTGATACCCAGTGACCACCCGTGAAAACCCGGTCCCGCCTGGCCACCATCGCTCCCGCCGAAGACGTGGATGGTGCCGGCAATAGTGGCCGCGGCCACGTAGGCACGACCTGAAGAGGTCGCTGGGCAAAGAAAACGCAAGAAAACAAAGCGAGTTCGGCCCGAAACACATGGACGCTCACCAACTCCCACTTTCCGGCAATATCATGCGATATCTATTATGACCGCCGTTACCCAAACTGACGGATTTCATTGGATTTCACCCCTCCCGCGACTCGGGCCTCCAAATTGTCAAACACATCCTTCCAAAACATTAGTAACAAGAAGCTACTAGGGGCTCCTGGCATCGCTACTAGCAACAAGGACGCGACGAGGGGCTCCTCGTCGACGCATCTCGACGCCCGCAGTTCGATTCCTGACGACGAACAAAACGATCCTGGGCTCGGCAGTCCGCCACAGCGCCCCGGGGAGTCCGAACGTGCCGACATTGGAGGCAAGGTCTCCCAAGTTCCAACCTGCAGCTGGGCATGAAATGGAGTCAAACGAGGAGTGAAGAACCAGATTTGGCTGGTGGGTTCTCAGGGTAAAACGTTTTCTGCTCATGCTCCATCTTCATCCAGGCTTGATCGCCCAGCGTTGGACCACAACTCTCATCAACCTGTGACCCGATCGCCTTTGGGTCGAAGCGCTCGACCGAATTCAACATCTGCGCCTGGGGTCCGGCGTTGGGGTCTGCGATATGCTGGCAATCGCAGTTGAGAAATGATGGTTTTAGCGGTATGACATGGCATTATTACCAACTCCTTCCTGTTAGATTGCCGATTACTGTTTGGAAAAACCTTTTGGACTATTTCAAGCTTTCCGTCTATCTTAACCACCGCTTTATGCAATTTAAGATCGAAAGGTAGCCGTATCTTGTTCCCATGCCCCACAGGCATCAATGGGCACCAGCTGCTAGCGCCTCCTGGAAGTTTGAGTCTTCTAGGAAACTTCTCCAAACCAAGAGGCCTCACCTATGGGTCCACTGTCGATCAACTGGAATCCTTCTGGAATCCTTGAGCTTTCTTCAAAATCTTTTCTCACCTCTTGCGATATTTCTTTCAAAAGCATTCGATTTAGAGACCTTTCTGCCATGCGAAAGGCTCGCCCTCTTCAGGCATGAGAGCCGGACGCCAAAGGCGCCACCACAAACATAGAGCCTCACAGGTTGAAGGCTTGTGCACCCAAGGCAGAAAAGCATCCAAACACTCCATCTCTGTAGCCACATATTCAGTACGCAGTGGCAAAGTTTGCATCTCTGATCCAGCCTACCGACTGCCCTGCATGTTGAAGTTCCACCGTGGAACTGCCCAACTCAAACCATTCTCATTGCCAAACCACTTGGCCACAGCCCGACACGCCTCCCTCCGCAAGCAGCCGCGGATGCACCTTGTGGGAACAAGGCGAGTGGGATTCTGAACACCCGTGACACGATGGACACATGAAACAATTTTTTATCCAACTTATCAATGTTCTGTATTTTTGGGGGTAGGCCGCAACTGAGGTAGGTTAGCTAGTAGGTAGGTAGCTTGTACCTACAAGTAAACTACTAGCATGGAGGCAGGATAGCTCACGCTTCTTCAAGGAAGCTCGGGGGAAGCTTCCTTCAAGAAGCGCCCGCACTAATGATTTGGTTCCTAGATATTTAGGGAAACTTAACACCCGTGCGGGTAGTTAGCCTCCAGAGTGGCTCAACTTACTTTCTGGCAAACTCCAGCAGAATTGATGCAGGCATTTTGATGGGCATAATCTCCAGTGTGGATCAGTGTGGTAATGTTCATACATTTTGTTCCACATGTTACCTTCGGATGGCCACTCCTACTTTTGAGCCTTACACAAGTCACCAAAGCAACCCTCGTCATTTCCGTCACGCCTGCACGCTGGCCCGACAAAGGAGATAGCCTGACACGAGATTGGGCTGAGAAAATGACCATTGGATTTGGTCTAGACCCTAAGGGCATCGCTAAAAGAAACAAGGGCATTGCTACAAGGCTGCCTTCATGCCACACCACTGCCTATCATGTCCTGATGTGAGATGTCCGCATCTGTGTGATGTCTGTCGACTCATTGCGTTTGAGAATTCTGCAGCAAATTTTCTGCGATCCGATTGGGGGGTGCGAACCGACTCGGATGTTGTTTCCAGTGCAGGGCATCATACAGTAAGTGGGTCGACCTGAAGTTCCAATGGGTTGAACACCACGCCCGATCAAGCCCAAGATGCGGGAGCCAAACATGCGGGAAGTTGTTCAATCTCTCCACACCTCAAACTGCGATGGGGGGGAGGCAAGTAGTAACAAGAAGCTAGTAGAAACAAGTGCATCGCTACTAGTAACAAGTGCCTTACTAGTAGTAACAAGAAGCTAGTAGAAACAAGTGCATCGCTACTAGTAACAAGTGCCTTACTAGTAGTAACAAGAAGCTAGTAGAAACAAGGCAGTCCAGGAATTTCAGACCGAGTTTCTTGGGGAGTAGCAATTATGCACGTAGAAGTCCACCGTAGCAATCATGCCTTTCCTTCGTCATGTGAGTCACAACAGTTGTGAGTCACTAGCACGCACCTCCAATAAAACAAAACATGGATGAGGTGCTGGTGACAATGGAGTCTTGCTATGAGCCATGAAGCGTTAGCAAGTCTTCTCAGTTCGCTCCAGTTTCGTCACACTTGATATTAGTCCTCGTAGTAGGCCAAATGAAAGTAATAAGATCGGTTCACCATCTAAAATACATTAAAATACAATCATATACATTGGACCGGACCTATCCTATTACCTGTAACAATGGATGATGATGGTTAGTAAAGGCCTTGTTCAACAATGATTATAATTGTTTACTGACTGTTACAGGTAATAGGACAAACCGAACATATACAATCTCTATATATATATATACAACGCTTTTTGTATGTAAACAAAATCATCTATCTGGGATGCCTGTACAAAACCATTCTTTGGGGTAGCACGCCACACGAAGCTCAGCTTCCCACTGCTTAAAGGCTCCCGTTGCTCATCCCTTCCGCCACAAACGTAAAGAAGTCCTGTGCCGAACCGAGTCTCAAGGACCATTTTTTTAAGGCCGCTCTGCCCCCCTGCCTAGAAGCGATGGCCTTCAACCTAATAGTGATTTGGCCTCCAAACTAAGAGCTAAACAGTATGATAGTAAAGAAACGCTCGACCGGACGTTTGATCATCAGGAAACGGCTCGCTGGAAGATAGCCCCAACACCCTGAACCCCGACAAAACAAATGTCCTGCTTTGTGGAATCTTAAAGGAGGAAGCATGTTCTCCACTGTTAGTAACAAGTGCATCGCTACTAGTAGCAAGTGCCTTACTCATCCTCCTTCAACTTGGTCAGGCGGTCCACCAGGACCATCCAAGGAGTTGCCCATGGATCACAAGGGCTGGTCTAGGTATCTTGTTCTCCCTTTACATACTCCACTTGGCACATGAATTGGCTCTGTCCGCTCCTTGCAAGGCAACGGCTGCAGGCCACCCTCTTCGCTCAGCCATGGCCGGCATGACCTCCGGTGCTGAATCTGCGGACTCCTCTAAATCCGTGGTGTACGACACCCGAGAGCGGCTCCCGATGTCTTTAAAGCTGAATCCAACATTTCCAATCCGGTTGCTTCGCAACCGGGTCAAAGGTTTTGATCACGAACGAATTCCTCGAACAGAAACACTCTTGTTGAGTGCTGTACCCGTCGCATGGAGGACACTATAGTAAAAGAGTTGTTATACGGTAACTACAACACTCACACTCTCATTCTAAATTCGAACAACACTGTAACTGAAACCGTATGAAACAGTGATAAACATGATGAACAAGGGCAACAAGTCACTCCTTTGCAAAGGCTTGATTACAGCTATGCCAAAACTCATTTCACTTAGTATTGAATCACTGGCTCTTGGGCCAATTCCATTCGATACCAGTGCCTGTTCCTCAGGGCCTGGCCCTGGAGCCGGTGGTCTGTTGTTTCGCTCAAGGATCTGTTTCAAACAACAACACCAGCGCCTGCCAATTGCCATTCGCCGCAGCTGCCTAGGCTTCGCTTCTGCTGGGACACTTGACATAAATCACCCTTGTTGGTCTCGGGCCATTCCACAAACCTCCCAAAAGAATCCACTCCATCTTGTGGCCCCAAATCTTCTTTAAACAGGAAAAACAAGATCTGCTCAAACCGATTTGCAGCAACTCTCTGACTTCTCTCCTCGCCGGGCCTGCCGCTCCCGCGGCGTGCCAAAGGCCGGCCCAAAGGGTGGCGACATCGTCCCAAGATACGGCGGGCTGGGTGGCGCAAGGCCTCAATCTTTCGTGATGTCGTGATGCTGATGGAGTCTGGGTGCATTCATGGTTGGTAGTGCATTCACCTTTGGAAGCAATTCATTCATGAACCAAAATTGAAGCAACATCCAAGTTCTTGGCTCGAAGGTGATCTTTTTGATGTATGTATGTATAGATATAATAATATATATATGTATATATGTTTTTGCTTTTTAGGTTTAGTCAGTCAAATAACTTTTCTCTGATTTGCAAGCTGATGGGAAAGTCCAGATCTGATTTCTCGGCCAACCCCAAAACCACCGTTTCAGTCTGAGAGAGGGTGTCCACCCATGTCCACCCTCCTTTCCTCACTCTCCGGACCCTCCTGTTTGAAAACCACCTGCCTCCCGCACTCGTTCCCACCGCCACGCGGGGCACCCCGGCCAGGCGGGGTGAAGGATTCCACCGAATTCAACGGCTGCCTGCGCTCACCGGTGTGCCGCTGAGATCGCTTCATTCAAATGCGGCAATCCCTAGCCCTAGCCCGCGAGGTCAGTGCGGATGATCCCTTATAGGATCTCAACCTCAAGATATCCCAAGGTTTTTGAGGCTTTCAACAGTTTGAACTCCTTATGTGTTCAGCGGTGCATAGTTGCTGCATCCTGTCAGCCTCCGTGTTGTGGCCACAAACTCCCAACCATACCACTGTCTGAGGTCTCAGACTGCGTCCCCGCACGACCTATCAAAACCTCTGCTGCAAGCCATGCATGGCGCTTCGCACCCTTTTTCAGATCACCATGACGCGCTCCGGGCCCTGCTTGGCGCAGGGCGCGAAGGCGGCGAACTGTTTGATCTGCGGCTCGGCGGTAGCGTGCTCGATCCGGAGCTCCAAGAAGGACGGCTGAGTGACCTACAGGGCACAAGGGGCAGGGCCAGTCGCCAAGTCCATCGGATGAAGATGGTGAAGTAAAGGAACGTGAAACTATGGGGAACACCAAAAACAAAACCTAAACAATCCCAACACCGGCAGAGACTAAGACCCACGAGGCCTGGATGATGAAGGGCAACATATGAATGCGTTTTCGGCCAATGGCGGAAGCCCTCACAGTGATCCAATGGTGTCCAGCCCCTGTGAAGCTCACAGTGTAGTTTCTCACCCGCTGGCCAGTGACGATGTCCTCCTGAAGAGAAGGCAAGTAAGCCATGGGCCGTGGGAAGTTTCTGAAGATCATGACAAAATTGTACTATCATTCTTTTTAAACACTCTCAAGGACTCGTTTTAACGGCCTGCAACCTGGTAGCGATGGCCTCCAACCTAGTAGCGATGACACACCAACTGCGAAACTCTGAATGGATTGGCTTATCTATCAAATGGATTTGTTAGCACCCAAAGCAATTGACCGTGTACAAACAGATTCATCCTGCAGCTGAACTCGATCAAAGTGCTGCCCTGCATTCAATCGCAGTGTGAAGTTCGTCCCATAGCCAGCAGTCATCACCTGGATTTTACAATTCTTGGTCAGTGCAGTTACCCAAAACAGTGACAGAACAATTGCTAACTTGATGTCCACGGAACTTGTTTTCCAATATAATTCCCTTGGTGGGAATAGTCATGAACATGGTTCTCAAAAGCGTTTCTTTGGACTGCCCAGTCACCAAGGGCGATCCGTAGCATTCTCGGACCTCGAAACCAAAAAAACGTCCATTTTTGTTGGGAAGGCGGGCGCCTCGTCGCGGTCCAGTACCACGCAAGAAAATCTAGGTCTCAGAGAGCCAGTCGAACACAAACAATATGATGATTGATGTATTTAGTCGAACAAAAGCTGAAAACCCAAAGAAACGCAGTTCTAGCCACCGTGTTGTTTTTTCCGTGTCCTTTACCTGGCGGGTTTTGGAATTGGGTGTGCATGCCAACTAGGATCTTTTTCCATCTGAGTCTGTTTCCACACATGGCCCACGTCTGAGAAATCATCAAATACCGCTGAACAACGAATGTGGAACAACAGCAAAGAACACAAAATAGGGGCCGTGGTCCTGAAAATGTGGGTCAACAATTTTTGTGATATGACATTCCAAATAACTCTTGACAGCAAACTCCTTTGAAAACACTTTTATTGCTCAGGTGAACTCAAATTGACCCGAGTGCTCCAAAACAAGCCGCTCACACCCCTGTACATGTGTAGATCTCCCACTTCCCCCTTCCCCACTCCGAGCCGCCCAATTGCCAAGCTGGTGATAGACCTCCACATGGCTCTGGGGGATTCGCCCTGTGCGATCCACCGCCACGTCCAGCTCCATGGTCATGCCGCGCCCCACGATGTCGTGGTAGATGGAGATCATTTCCTTTCTCAAAACGACCAAAACAGACGAAAAACAAGCGAAAACCACAGAAGAGCGCCCATGGTTGATGTCCCGAGGAAAGGAACTCGACTGGCTCAAACATCCTCGAAACTTTTGTTGGCCAAAGCCGACCCAGGAAGACTGAGTCAAGAGTTCTGAAGGGGATGCACACGAAAAAAGGTTGTTGAATTGGTTGGTCAGACCTGGATTCTGGTATTTCTGTGAAAATAAGAGCTTGAACAACACCAACTTGGGGCTGGCGTGAGGGGTTGTGTGCGCTTTGAATCGGTCTGGCGAACGTTTAACTTTTAACATGTTTTGAGCATCTTTTAAATCTGTTCTTTTTCGTTAATGAGGAAATGGAGTGAATTTGGGACTATGGACGGAGGGTCTCTTGCAAGAGCTTTGATACTTTCATTCCCATTGTCACTCTACCCAGAAAAGTGTATCATTCAACGTGGTGGCAAGCGAAAAAAGAAGTCAGAACATCTGCTTGGCAAATTTATCGCATGCTGGATTACAAAGCTGTGCAGGGGATTACTTTGCAATGCATGATCTTCTGACGCGTGTTCAATGAGTCTCTCTCTCTCTCTCTCTTCTTAGACAAGGACATATGAACTTGGTTTAACAGGAACAGTCCCCTTTCAAGTGTCATTGCAGGTTGGGGTGACTGCTGGGTCCACAACAGGAATTCTTCAATCCAAGACGCTGAGAGATTTCGAACCTGCAGGGACAGCAAAACCGCAGATCAAAAACCAAAAAACGTCCAAAGGATGGAAACAACATATATAACAAACTAACGTTACAGTAGCACACTTATTGGGCAAACCCCCAAATGGAAAGCAGCTGTAGCCCTTCAGAGCCGGTTGAGGGGATGTCTGACACCTCTGACACCCATCCGAGCCTGTAACCGTGGCTCCCAGAACCAAACATGCTGTCGGAAGAGCTGTGGATCACAGAATTTCGGCACCCAAAGACTCGAGTTCAAATCGCCATGAGTGCCAGTGCCTTGGGGACGGCGCTGGGAGTGGATGTTGGAAGGAACCGAAAGGAAGTGCTCGGTGTTTCATTGAAACTTCACTGCTCCAAATTCTGAGGCTAATGAGTTTGCATCCGAATGATTAATTAGCTCAATGGAACAGCTACTACATTGTAGCTTTCCTCAACAACCCCATGTCCTGGACCGGTGTGCTCCGATCTGACTTGCACTCACATGCGACCAAAGAAACCAATGCTCCAAACATCCTGCGGCCCCACATCTTGCGATGGGTGTCCAGATTCAGTTCCACACCAGTCCACAGGGTTTGACAGTGTGCCGGCAGCCTGGATGAGCGTTGGGGCGGGTAGGGCCCGCAAAGGACTTCTGATCAAACAAGGTGCGTACGCAGCTATCGGTTTGAGGTGTCAGCGAGTTGTTTTGTCTGTGTCTTAACAGTCCCAACATTGAACATGCACATAGGAGGTTCATTTCAAAAGGGTTGTGAAGGCTATCAATGGAATTGGGCCATCCACTTTTGACTATTTTGAGGGTCTAAAGACTTGGGGGGCCAAACAATGAATGCATGCATCAAACTTCAGCGCTCAAAGGAACCCCGAGTCCCGAGTTGCTCTTGAACCTCTACCCCAACTTCCCCCACACTGTCATCTTCTGGCCTGAGGTTGTAGCTCATCCATCAAATCCCCCATGCCATCTAGGGCACTGTCCACCTGGGACTTTACGATCGTCGGAGAGACTTGCGAGCTGACTCTCGCAGTTGACCCCGTCCGCATTTTTGGTTATGTTATGTAAGTGTTATGATGTGTTCTGCATACATGGTGATCCGAAAGTTTTGGAGGACATAAAAAGTATCCTCATCCATCCATCCCTAACGGGGGGTCAATGGGGGACCTTCAATTTCTTTTCACTACAGTAATCACATTAGTGACTCACCGCCTGGTCAGCCTGTGAGACACTGGTGCGTGCAGTTGTTCATGGATCTTTGTGGCCAAGAAGGATTGCATCCGGAAGCTTCGGCACAAACACCCTTGCGCGCTGTTTAGTCTTTCTGATCTTTCTGGCTTCAAGGTATGTCCAGCTAATATGCAACAGGCAAGAGTAGGTGGTTTGGCATGCTCTATTTGCAACCGGTTTTCATTCTAAAGATTCCCAAGCTTGGCCCCCCAAGCTACCGGAGATGCTTCTTGAACCGCACTCATGGTAGATTTCCTCACTTGAGACTCCACAAGCAGCATGATTCCATTTAATTTGATTCTTGTTTCCACTAGCTTCTTGTTACTACTAGTAAGGCACTTGTTACTAGTAGCGATGCACTTGTTCCTAGTAGCTTATGATCATCCATGATTTTACCCCAATTGCCCCAGGAAGTTGTTCGCTGCATGAAGTGAGAGATCTAAGTGGTGAGACTTGTGACCGCAAACAGTTTCGGCTTGGCAATATCATGAACATTGGTTTAAAGACATGGTGGAAGGCCTGGAAGTGTGCAGGGCACAGTGGTTGGCGTCGGGTCTTTTCACCGCCGTGCCAAATTGATGTCAGCTTGTTAGATCGTATCTGATCTGGTTTTAGATGGGCACCGCCTTCCTTGCAGTGCGCCAAATGCCGGAGCCGTGCCAAAGCCTGTCCCCACTGCTCATTGTCCTTCCTTTGGCATCATTCTGACAAAATGGATGGTGCAACACTTTAATCTCACAAGCCTCTCCTGATGGCTGTGGTTTGGAGCCAAACTTCCCGTTGAAATCACAGTAATGGTGTGGACATACCGTTTTTTTATGGCCCAGATTTCACGGATCCTGACGGATCCTGTCAAATGAAGACTTCTACCCGCATCCTCCGATCAATTCCGGTCTTGACTCCGAGAATCCCAAATGCGCGCCAGCGAGCCATACTTGGTCCAGAGCTCAATGACTTGCTGTCGGGCAACATGCCTGTACTCCTGAAGAGTGTAGCTTTAGAACCAGAACCACAGAACCACCTATTCAGCAAACCCTAAGGCAACGCATGTTCAACTGCTTCATACTCTGTCAATGAATCACCAGCCATTAAGAAGGACCTGGAGGATTCATGGATTCTCATTAATTGGATCTAAAGCTAAGTTTAGACATCCATATTAAGTAAATACCATCCAGTTGAGTGGAACATCACGGCAATCCTCACAGCGGAGGAAGCCTCAAACCGGACTCATCCTAACGGGACTCATTGATTCCACCCGCAGAAAGGCACTTGTGCAGTTTTTGTGGTACAATACTCTGTCTGATATAGCAATTTTGTATAGCTGAGCTACACACATATATATATATAATGATATAAATAGTCTATATGCATCTATAGTCTATATGCAATGAGACTCTATAAGTGTATATATATGCACAAATGTACTGTAAGTGTCTCCGCACGATGCACAAGCAGGTCCTCTTCGGTCAGATTCTTCTGGCCGGGAAGAACTTCTTTCGTGCAGGAGTTTCCGCCATAAAAGTTGCGGCAAAGGTAGAAGTTCTTGGCGATGGAGTAGTAGAATCCGTAGCCTCCAGCGTAGATGCCCCCTCTACATGTGATATGCACAAACACAACACTTAAATAGATTTGCTCAACATGGATTGTGAAAATGGGCATGCGGCTCATTGTAGAACTCTCTGGTCATGTGTCGTATTTTCAATTGTCAAAAGCCAATGTTTCTCATGAACTCTCACCAGCTCAACGCTCGAAAGGGCCCCACCCTTTGGCTCCGTTCCAGTCCTCCTTTTGGCTCCAGGTTCCTTCGACATGTCAATGGATTGGTTCCAACAAATGCCAAGACACCAATTCCAGCCCTCTTGGCTGCATCAACGAAACTCTTCCTCAAAAACATCCATGGAAGCTTTGGCGGGCGAAACTGCTACGGGTTGCGAAGTCCACGCTGTGAGGATTGGAAGACCAGTGGAGGAACTGCTATTGAAACCAAGCACATCTGAGTGTGGCTCAAAAATCAATGCGCCCAGTAAAGCATCAAAATGCCCAAAGACGTTCTTACAATATATTACAATGACCTTCTGTGGCGATAGTTTGAGCCAAACCCAAGAAATGTTCTCATCTTTCATCTAGCTTCAGCACATCCACTTGCACCTTGGCCCCAGGCATCCCCACATTGTACCCGTAGAGGCTTCCATCCGGCAGAGTCGCGTGGCTTGGCCAAAGCGCGAAGCCGCAGCCGTGCTTGGCTGTTAAAACAGCGATGTTCGCCCCTAGAGCCTTTCCCAGCAGTGAAGGGGATGTGTCAAGAAGAGGCTTTGAGCTTTTCTAGCCCTGGGCTCAGCAGTTCCACAATTTCAAGCCCTTCAGTAGCTAGCATTTGCAAGCGCTGTAATTAATATATATATATATATAGAGAGAGACTATAGATCGAGACTATAATCTTAGTAAAGGCATACCCTAGAAGTTGCACAAATGGATTCATTGATCCTCGCCACACAAAAACAAACTACCAGGATACAGGAACCTGGAAGACTCCGTACCAAACAATAGGTTGCAATCCAAGAAGCCTGGATGCTCTCCATCCACTGTGTCGTATTCAATTTGGTGGGGTTGAAAGTTGCCTAAGGTGCCAAAGATGAAAGTAAGACTTTCAGGATGTCCAGAGCTGCAAGCCTGACCCAAAACCAGTCATAGTCGTTCAATTTTGCTACTACACACTACTACCTAAGTCCTCTGGCTGTCCCTGGTCAAACAGGTTTTGGCAGAATTCTGAAAGTTTTCTTTGGCACATGCGCTTACGTGTCACTGAATCCTGCCAGGAGGCCGGGTCCCTGGTCTTTCCCGCCGCATAGGGCGCCTTCACGTTCCAGTTGCTCTGGTCACAGCAGGGATCGCCATTGTGAGCAAAGGTCCCCATGTTGAAACTAATCAAAACGGCCTCAGGAGACAGCCAGGCACCTGCCAGGCAGGTGGCAAAGACCCGGGTCATGCGACAAATCTAAAAGGTTGCAAGGTCTAGTTGCTCAAGTCAAGTTGCTAGTCCCAAGCAATGGTGTCCCAAACACTCCGAAATGAACGTTCCGGGAATCTGAAATGAAGGGTGGGTTCACGAAGCAGTTGGAACCCTGAAAAATGGTGGTTGCTTCACAGGCCTTTGACGCAGTGACCCACCATGACCCTCTGTGCATGTTTAAACACAAAAGTGTTGAACCTTCCAAAAATTGACCTGTTGCTTTGCTTCCAACCATAAGTAACCTTGAGTGTGTTGGTTTGGATTCGAGGAATCAGACTATCAAATTGTCCTTCTTCATGAATCAGTAAGGTGCCAGCCCGGCTCATGCCGCCCTGCTACAAAGTCCGTTGACTGATAGCGCAGCTGCGCAGGCGAGGGGACTGGAAGATCTTTGGCAGCCTCCTGTCATGGAGCAGGAGTCCCAGATTGGTTGAACAAATCTTTACAGCCAGTCGTATGCGTCTACTTTGCCATAGAAAAACCAGCCTCATCCCCTCTTGAACATCTACCTTGATTGGACACCTAACCGTTTGCACCAGGACTTTATGTATAAAGTCCTTGGTGTCTGAGGCTCTGGTGGCTATTTTTTCTTGGGGTCTGAGGCTCCGAAATTTTCTGGAGCTAAGGTGTTTGGATGAGCCAAGTGCCTCATTTATTTACCTAAAATTCAAGGCTCACCAAAACAGTCACAAAATTGTCACCTTATAAAGTCCTTGAAGTCCTATACCTCGAACCACTCAAGATATCGGCGCGCTCCTTTTTCTTCTCAAGGATTTCATGGCACCGTACCGGGGAGCCACCGGAGGCATTGACCCCACCAAGCAAACCCACACGGTGTCATCTTTAGCCGTTTATATGGTTTACATTGTAACTAGTTGGCTCAAGGACATGACAAATGAAGATTTCGCACAGCGATGTGCAGTGTGGCATGCGACTCGCCTGAGGAAGCTCCTTAGGGTCAATCGCCTGTAAGAAGGAGCCAGCTTGTCAGAGTCCGGAGTCCTTGCAGTAAACGGCTGGATCATTCTAGAGAAGCCTCAGGCACCTTTTCCCTCAGACACTTCTGGCACTGGCACTGTATATTCCTTCCACCTGCCCCCCAGAAAGATGGAAAAGGCATCAAAGAGAGCGTTTCTAAGTTCTACAAAAAGATTTGACGGCTGCTGGCCTTCCAAGTTTGCTTGCTCCAGGATTTTCAGTCGCTAGGCTAGGGGGGCGGTATTGTCACGACGATCTTTTTGGATCGGAGCGGCAAACGGAGTCACATCTCGATGCCAAGCACAGGGAACAGTAGGCGAGTGGAGAGGGACCCGCTCACCGTCAACGGGCCCGGGCTCAACGGGCCCGACGTAGGACAGGGGGTATGGAAACACACGGAATCCATGGGTGTAGAGTTCCAGTCTAATACGAGAGTTTGACCAGGAAACATATTTCTACAGCGTGTACGGATCACTCCACGGAAACTAGGCGGCACGATGGATCTTGCGCCGTGTGCACTTTCTACCTTTCTTCATACGCAACCCACGTCAATCAGGAGATCAACATCGATCACCTGCGGCTCGCTTCCACAAATTTTACAAGCAAGGAATCAGGAAAACCTCTGGTCATCCGAGAATGTTTGTCTACGTAGATAAACAGCTCAGACACATGCAAAGGAACATGGCTGATAGCCCTCGCAAAGGTTACAGAAAAAGAATCAGGGACATATCTGGTCATTCGAGATATGTTCGTTCGGGAAGAGAATACTGCTGCTTGACCCGCTCATGTTTTTTCGATGCGCATAAACATGTCGGAGACATGCAAAAGAGCATTGGGCTCAAATCAAAGCCCTCGCAACCAAACCATGATATCACACCCTGATACTGTATTAAGCCACAAACCCACGCGCGACATTTGACAAGCCAACAAAACACCCCTTAAAGCCACCAACGATCGTGCCAGGCTCCACCTAGCGCCCAAGCGGACTTTGGCGCAAGCTTCCAGGGAACAAGCTCTACATCTGCAAACAGAATCTGCTAACAAATTGGACAAACTAAATGTACGCAACAAGTGGACTGTGAGAAGGCACGTCTAAGGGATCAGCCATAGCCCGTGGTTTCTGTACACTGTCGCAACGAAGTTGGCGCTCCTCTACTCGGAGACATCTCCTCAGCAAGCATGAAACCCGAGCGATTGGCTGCTGGCAGGCTCAGATGGGCGGCTGGCAGGCTGAGACTTTTCAGGTCGAGGCTTGGGCTGCTTATGCATCTTGTCAGCGTCAGCCACCTCTGCCCCTGCTAGCGCAGCAGCCTTTGATTTCTGACCACTTGCTCCACCCTTCGCAGCTTTCTCGCGAATCTTTTGCATCAAGCTTGCGTAAGGTAAAGAGCACAATTGCATCAGCCGGTTGTGGAATTCCACCACCGCTCCCTGGTCCTCGCTCGACGGAAGGTCCAAAGTCACAAAAGGTTGACTCTTCCTCCCTGATTCATCTTCTCCTGAAACTGCTGCAGCCCGTGCTGCATCACTGCGCACCAATGCGCCAGACGCAGACTTGTTCGTGTATACTTCGAAGCACCTTCCTTTTTGACCTTGACGTGTCGATAACACGATGGCCAAAAATCTTGGCTTCGCCGCGGGAGAGCGTCTTGAACATGATGACCTCAGCAGAGATTCATGTGTGTAGCGTAAAATGTAATGCAGCGCAATGCTCTGCCAGGCTTGTTACGTCGTATTCTCATTCGCTATCTTATGTATGTAACTATGCGTTTAAGCATGTCTATCTGTCTGTCTGTCTGTCTGTCTGACTTCCAAACCCCTGTTTCTTTGTAGACTTTACATTACTACGCGTCATCGCCACCTTGACACAACCTAGGTTCTTGGGGGGAAAGTTCAGCGGGTGGCACAGTCGAGCAAAATCTGCCTCAAGTCCAGCATGTGCTTCGTCAGGATTTAAGTCGAGTGGTCAATTGTATTGCTATGTGAGAAGAGGCGCCCTGTCTGGATGAAGAACCGTGCCCACATCGGGATGTTGCACGCTCTCTCCATTTTCTCCATAGCCACAGGACAAAGCAGGGGCTTCCACGTCGGTAAGTTCCAAGACTTGATCCGTGCTCTGCACCACCTGCGAGGGAATGAAGGGTTCCACCTGACTCGGCATTGCCGCTGCCTGACAAGCAGCTTGTAAGCGCGCGCTGGCTGACACTGCCCTCTCCTCATCTGTCGAAAGTAGCCTCTTCTTTTTGGCCAGTCCAAATCTCAACTAATGAGTGCGACAGGACAACTTGTTCATGGCCTCTCAAAATACGCCGCTTTTCCACCATGAGTTCTTCGGAGGGATCCACATCGCCTGCAGCTATCTCAAACACAAGGTTTGCACAGGCTAGAACAGCGAGCTGCCAGGCTGCCGTTCCCAGTCACCCTGCAGCATGTGTCTGAGCCTCACACCTGCCAACTGCTGCCTGAACATTCCACCCAGCTTGAAATGCTGTGAACAAGCTCCGCGCCTCCTCTGACATCTGGATCACCCGGTGTGGCTTTTCGAAGTATGATATGACCTTGTGGGTCATGCTGCTCACATCTTGGTCGGGGCTCGCAGCAATGTTCCTGTCTGGGAACCGCAATTCTGCACGGTGCCAGGTGTGATGGGTTTCTTGAATGATCCTGAAACGCAAGCGTGTCTCTACCCCATCGCCCAAAATCACAACAAAGCCTTGGCAGCTTGGCAAAAAGCTTCCCTGCTCTGGGATTTCTCTCTCTGCGCCTTCCTCTTTGCTTTCCTCAAACATCTGCTTTGCATACTCGTACTGCAGACATTCTGGAACGAGTCCCAGAGGCTCGAACATGTTCTCTAAAAGCGGCACCCACATCCACTTGACTTCCAAGCCTGCTGGAAGTGGGCTATGAGGCTCAACGGGTTTCCCCGTGGTGTACAGGAACCTTTCAGCGCAAGCCACGTGGTGGCTCCCAGCCGCGTCGCTGAGGACATCAAAAAAAGCCGATGGGTGAGCATTGCCCACCCCACAAAGAATTTATGTTCTATGACATACACTCCTCCTGGTTTTTCCAGGCCGCTTTGTGTTCTCTTTTCTTGAACATGTTTGGAGTGACTTCCTACATTATTCCAATTTCCAATGTTTATCTCCTATATGCTGATGCATCTGCCTTGATTTCAAGCCACCGGCGCAGCTTCTTCCACGCATGTCCACCAAATTGGCTCAAATAGACAGGACTCTATATTCATCATGTTAACACTATGTAGTCATTCCACTCTCTTTCATCTTCCACGCACCAACCCTTTCGGTCCTTGTCTGCTGCAAGGCCTGCCACAGCAGCTCAAAAAGAAACAAGCCGACGTAAATCCGAATCCATCTGCTGAGTAATTCACTTTCTACAAAAAAAACTTGTACTACCTTGTACACCTTCTACCTGGTACTACAAAAGACTCACTTCCTACCTTGTACTAAGATACCCTTGAACTGAAACAGCTGACGGGCCCTGACAGGCCAACGGGCCGACGGGCCCACGGGCCCGGACACAAAGGGGACCACACCCGGCGAGTGTGAGCCCGGAGGAGTGGAGTGGGTGCCACCTGGTATCTCTCCATGTTTGCAGAGTTAACTTGTTTGGCTGCTTGCACTGCTTATTCTTCTGTTCACTCGTCGTCACGCCACCCCTTTGCTTTGAGAAAAACGCAGCACCAGGAGACCTCAAGCACAGGTGAATCATGCCCAGACCTCCAGCACCAAGAAAAAATGTATATTTCCAGGGTGTTAATCATCTGTTTTCATGCTGACATTTTTTCCTGGGTGTTGAGGTCTCCAGGCCTCGATACCAAACCTCAGCTCCTATATATATAACGCGTTTCAAGCACTAAGAAAAATAATCCGCTGAACATCGTGTATCTTGAGCTCTTGAGTGTTTGGACTATCAACACTAGTCACTGCATAGAGCCATGATTTGCAAGCTCACACAGTTTTGTGTGACTCTGACTGCGAACAAGTTCTGTGACTTCGAACTTCTAACTTGCGTCTGCAGCATGAGCAATGTAGTAATTCATGGTAACTCACTCGCCCGTGAGTCTGACGTAAGAAATCCCTTATATAAATTACAATAAATTCAATTATATAAGTACAGCAATTTTTTCAAACATCATCCTCCCGTGTCTTCGGTCACTCCACTGCAGGACCTGCCAGGCCAAAGCCGTCCAAATGTGCAAGACCAGAGCCGTCCATATCGCGGGCGCAGCGTGAGCCGTGACACGAGCCATGGCAGCCCACAGCCCACGGTGCAAGCCCAGATTCTGCTGGTTCGGATCAATGGTCAAACCTTGAAAAAGAAGCACATTTAGTACTAGCATTGTACCAAGACATGAGCAAGGCTGGAGTGGGTTACGGTTTACGTTTTAAGGTGGGGAGAGCTCGCCAGAAGGCAACACTTTTTAGGGTGGCGATTCAGGTGGCTTATCAAGAAGTCCCCTCTCAGAAACAGCGGATAGGGTTTACACTGAGATGGGCAACCTGTTTTCGCCGAAGGATCGGCTGACATGACTCCACAAGAAGCATGTCGGAGCTTGGAAGACTGATGGTGGGAGTCCTGAGTGCCTTGCACAAGTATTGTGTATGGTAGGCTAACGGGGGAATTGACCTCACGGCGGACGGCAGCGAACAAGCATCGGGTCTTCACCCGGATTCACAAGCAGTAAGCTTGGATTTGCAATAGCAACAGTTGTATAATCATGGATACTATCCTGCAGTGAACACTCAGGGATCCAGTGTGGTCGGAATCCAAGTGCCAGCCTGCTTTCGTCCAAACCACCACAAATGTAGAGCCGCTGGTTGATGACGCCTGGCACAAGTGGGATGGACGCGGAGAATCAAAGCATACATGGGCTTTTACAAGCCTGTTAGACCCCAAATTGAGCGAAGTAGTTTGATCTGTTTGGTCTTGGAGGTGCACAAACAACTGCATCAGTCTTCAACCTCTTCCCAATTGGAATAATGCTGGAACGCTCACACGAGGAAACTAGCAGAACAAAAGGGTTGCTCCGCAGTGAGAACATCTTCCTTGACATTGAGAGGCGAACGACAGCGCAGTGTGTTTAGTCTTTTCAGTGCTGCTCGGTGAAACGATCTCGGTAGGGCCAAGACAGCTGGACCTCAGTGCACGCGGACAACGCGCTTTTCAGGACGGTCGCGTTTTTGGGTGCGAGCAGGCGCCAGCAGGGAAAATGCGTTGCAGGTCAGTTCTGTAGTTAAAGGCTCCAGTCTAAATCATCCAACACTTGTATGATCTATTTGACTCTGCCTCCGTATTGACCAGCAAACGGTTTGAACTTGTGAATGGTAGGCGTTCAAACAACATTTCACTGTTGACAGCCGGAACCTGCAACGTGCCTGGCAACAGTTAAAAGGAACGGTCCTTCACTTACTTCTGGTAGCCACAAACAAAAGACGTGGTCACATGTGGTCACCATACAAACCACAACAACAACGACAACCGACTACCCCAAAAATGACTACCCAAAGGTGCTGGTGAACTCCTTCCTTATCCGTCCGGACCAAGGTGCCGGAGGCTCCGTTTCTTCCTCCGTGACCCCAAAGGGGTTCGGCTCGGCCACCACCTGAAGCGAAGCGAGGGAGGTGATGACATCCCACCGGCCGCAAGGAGCATTCGCCTACTACTTGCTTAATCAATCTTAATGAATCTTCATCCGAATCATGCGCTAATAATGAGATTCATGAGATTCATGCCGCGATTCATGGCGAGATATGGCCAATATGTAGCTGTGATGCTTGATTCCGGTGCAATATCATGTCGGACGATTGGATAATTTCTGCGTTCGGCTTGTGGCTGTCAAAAGCCTCCCTTGTTTGGCGAAACGGCTTCCAGATCTTTCATGCTCCCTGTCTACTGTCTAAACCGCTAGGAATTCAGCTGAGCAGTCCCATCACTTCGTCATCCCCCCTGCACCTTGTAGAAGGCGATCAGGAGGCTCTGTACTCGCTCCTGCATGGTCCAAGAGGCCAACCGGAAGGTTTGGCAAGTTTACTAGTAGCGTCCTTTGCTCCTAGTAGCGATACCAGGAGCCACTAGTAGCTTCTTGCTCCTAGTAGTAAGGCCAGCCTTGCTCCTAGTAGCTTCTTGAACCCTCATTGGACAGCTGCGAAGTTCTTAAAGCAATTCTGCGCGCAGGTTTTTGTTATTGACTCATGGTCGAGTCCAGTCAAACATCTCACACTGGTGCAAGTACCACTGGTCGAGTATGATCGAATCACCATGCACAGCAGCAGCTTGGGCGCCAGTGTCCTTGCGGCTTCTCTCCATGACATGTTGAAGTGCCACAGATCTTTCCTTGGTGAAATTTGTGCGACACAAACTCACTGTGGCACCTGTCTGTGGCACTCAAACCATGACCAGAATGGAACATGGCCCCGCAGGAACACTCCGTCACAACCGTTCCACACATATACGCACCGCCATGAATACCAAAAATACACCGTCTTGTACCTGATAAAGAAATTACGTACTGTACTGCGCAGTACATGTGTTTTGTCCAAATCACTACCTATATGCCTGGTACAAACCCGAGCATAAATACATATCAACAACCATCAACTGTGCTTTCCCCGCTGAAAACCGCCACAGAGCGAATACAGTATTTGATCCTTCTACTCACTCCCCTCCTCTTCTTGCCCAAGGCACCAGCTTGGCGATGATGCCATGAACTTTTTTCATCAGCACTTGATCACGCAGTTCCCATTCCTGCCGGCTTCCGGAATCGTTGGATTCGCCCAGTTGGGATCTGTCAGAATCTGTGATCTTCTGGAAGGATATCAACATATAACATATATATATACATATATGTATATATATATATATCAACGATGCAGCTGATAGATGCAACATGATGCAACCAACATCAAGCAACTATATCTAGGGGATGCTGCAAGCCACAATATCAATAGCTGCATGGTCATAGTCAACATCTCAATCATGTATCTCCTGCGCTCTCTGGAGCCACACAGCTCTCTGTCTCTGCGTCTGACAGAACTTCACGGGTTTGCCCTTACGTAACATTTTTCGTCAGACTGCATCACAAAAAGGATCAAACAGAATCAAACAGGCTTGTTCTTCTTCTTCTTCTTCTACTTATTCTTAATCTTTCACACCTTATTGTGGTTCAACTTGTGATTCAACTTGTCAAATCTCTTAACCAACGATGATTCCATTTCACGAGTCTTGCTTGTGCCCCACACTGGCTCTCTGCTGCGACTTAAAGCCCGCCGTTTTCAGGTGTCCTGCTGAGCTTGAAGCCGCTCATCTTCCGCAGCAGCTAGTGCATGCCCAGCACTTTGAGCCAGGCCTTTGGCACGATAACACTCGAACCTTGGGGCCGATGGTTTCATCGCCGAACAAGGTCGCCGAAGCGACCGATCGGTCGGCCGGGTCGATGTCGGTCGGGGTGCGGGAGAAGTCCAACTCTGGGATGGAAAGAGAAGTCCACAAGAATGCCCAAAACATGCGAACACGTGGTGCTGTTGTCGAACGTGGTCATGCAGCCATGCACCTTCAAGTGATACCAGGCGCACAAACTTCTTTTGTGCCCCTGATCTTGGTAGCTTGGTCAAGCTACTGGGGTACAGTGTGACATAGCCTGACCAAAGAGTCAGAAAAATGGCATGCGGAAAAGCCTGAGGTTTTCTGTCTGACTGGGACGGAACTTGAGAAGACTGTGATACTAGCATGGATGCTTGATGGTGCTGGGTCGTTGATCCCCCTTCATTCTCAGAACGGACACTATTGGAATGACAGAACAATGATGGTCACGAGAGCTTGCAAGATGGCGAAACTCGCTGACGACTACGATGAGGGGTCCAAACACACCAAGGTGGCACTCAGAACTGCGAAGGAATCAAAAAGCTGAAGCATCTCGAAGCCAAAGGGCTCAGCATTCTTCACTTCAGTCCTTTTCAAAGCATTCCTTGGCTCTGACCAAGGTGGCAGATTGACATGTTGTCAACCCCGAAATCTTTCACCATGCCCATGCCCCATTGAAATCGACCAAACTAGCACCTCGTCCCACAAAGTGTTGCGAAACCTGTCGATGCTGCGCTCCTATCAAGCAGCTAAACCTACAACCTACTAGCAGCCTCAGTAAGGTAAAGGAGGTAAGTTTGGTATCTGACAAAACCACCCCCTCCCCGCTCATCGCGACTCTCGCTTTGCAATTGCTCTGCCATGACTCTCACCAGCGACCAGCTTCAGGCGCGCGTGCAGCAGGCCAAGCTCGCGTTGAAGATCACCTGAATGCGTGTCGAACATCCCACCAGACTGTAGCTGTTTAGCACCCACCCTGACGATTCTGGGGTCCAACTGTAGCTGTTTAGCATGGGCCAACGCGGCATGCTTCATGGCTACCCAATTTATTTCTTTTAGCATCCATGAGTGCTGGGGTGCTTTTGCAAAAAAAACTGTTGACTCAAATGGTGGTCCCAACATGTCCAACCGCCGTCACCACACAGCTTTGGTTCGTTCTGACGGGAAGGATACCAAACTTGAGGCCGAGGGTAGGTGACGAAAGCTAGCAGGGGTGCATCCGGACTGGTGGGACATCAAGCGGAGTGAGGCAAATGCTCATGAGGTAAAACGTTGTGAACATGTAAGACACACAAACAGCAATGACACAGCCAACCTTAGAATTGAAGTCCCCGATAATTAAGGAAGCGTGGCTGGACTTTGCCACACTGTTCGATGCATCCGATGTGTTCACGAACCTGTGAGCTTGTTGAATCTGTTGCACCGTATCCCAAAACCTCCACAGAGGAGTTGAACCAGTGTGGATGCCAAAGAGGTGCCCAAGAGGTGTCCCAGAGGCAAAACAAAGCTGCTTGCATGATTTGTTTGGTTTCTTCTATCGATGTCGATGTCATGAACATGTGAGCTTGTTGAATCTGTTGCACCGTATCCCGGAGGAGTTAAGCCAAAGTGGATGCCATAAGAGATGCCCGAGAGGTGTCCCAGAAAGCAAGGACAACTCCAGCTAGCTGGTGCTAGCTTTCGTGATTATGTATGTCTTTGCTTGAATGTTGAAACACTGTGAGATGACTGGCATGTGATCCTTCTAAACTGCAAAGCGGCCATCTTGCTTCTCTCCTTGTTTCTGGAGCTCTTCAATGTGTGACTGGCACAGTCGCCGACCTTGTCGGTTAACAATTCGATGAAATGATCGTGCAAGATCTTGCAATCACAGTGGGCTTCGTCGGGGCTCGAATGAGGCCTGGAAAGCTTCTAGAACTTCTAGGTGATAGCAAGCTGAAAGAATGGAACTTGAACGGAGCAATGCCACCTCCCAAAGTGACATGCCTATCCCAAGAATAGAAAAGAGGTGAGGAAAGTCTTCCAACAGGCCATAAAAGTTCTCTGAAGTTAATCTCAGGCGCTTTGTTCCACGGCTGCCGCCTCATCTCTAAGCTTTTGCAAAGCATCTTTGGCTTCTTTCAGCTCGTAGTCCAAGGAACTCTGTTGCTCCTCCGCTCTCTGGATCGCAAGCAACGCCGCCTCCTCGAGGCAAGTTGGAAATCCAAAGTCAGTCTCTTAATTACGATGAAGATCACTCTTCTGAAGAACATCCCCCCAACAAAAACACACAATATATGGTATACGTGACTTTGGTGATAGTGATGGAACGTTACACACTTGTTCCTTGGAGGGTTTCTTTCACAAGTGTCACAATCTCTTCAGCAAACTGCCAGTCCTTTTTGCGTCGTTGAAAGTCCTCTTGCGTCTGAAAGCCTGATGCGTAGTCATGCAGCTGTTGCCGCTGTGAACGCAGCCCAGCCTGGAAACTAGCAACGGCATGAAACAACAAGCCTGCAGTCTCTACTTAGTTCTACTTGCATCTCCAGACTCATGTGTGAGTTAAAGGAGTGTCAGGATGATTCACTTAGTATTTGGCACTCAAATCTCGGTGTGACCACAAAGATGGGGGTCCCCTCAGCCAACTGGCTTTGAGCGGAGTCGACATTTGTCGGACAGAATAGCAACATGATGCATGCATATATTGCATGCATGGTCGAAACATCCCAAAAGACATCGCATGATGTACAAACATGTTGCCTCACCCAATAGTCATAGTCCACCATTGGGAGGAAAAATATGGGAATGACCTGGCACTATTCTTCCACCTCCTTGGCTTGTGTGATGTTTCTGTACCAAACCCATGCCACTGATCCTTGCCCACCAACACTTCTCGATTGGATTCCTCACCGATCATACCCGGATGACAGGGTCAAAGCGAGCAATTGGTTCCATTCAAAGGCTTCCACTCTTTGGCGAACCTGCACCGGGCAAGTCAAAGCGACTTATCGAATGCTGCTCCGAAGAAAGTGGAACACGGTGTGCTCCGATATGCGTCGTCGACATGTTTCGTTTGACCAAACTTTGGCCAAGAAGCCTGCGAATCAATCAAGGCATAGGTCGCAGCTTGGGCATTTTCTATTTGTGCGTGACTAGCCATCATGCGATTGGATGCTAACAGTCCCAACAAGTTTATATTGGGCAATTAGTAATTAGGTCTGCAAGTTGTATGCAAATTTCAAATGTCTGTGAGCTGCGCCTTTGGCATGTTCATGTCTGTATATGTTCCAATCGCTTCCAGAAGATGGGGAGCTAGTTCACATCAACGCGACCTGTGAGCCGCCAAAGCTTGGATACGCAAAGATGGTAGCTGTGTAAGCTGGAAGGCAATGAACTCCATGGTGCATGGCTGAAAGGCAATGAACTCTGTCATACATCAACTCTACCATGCTTCCAGATTGGGCTGCCTCTCAATATCTCTCGATATGAGAGTCAGAAAAAGGCTGTATTTTTGTCTGCACTGGCGCACATGGATTGATTTGACAAATATTCTGCACTGGCACAAATGCTAATCCGCAAGTCCGGAGACAGCATTGCTGTACGTCTGCCGAGATTCCCCTTTGGCACAGTATATATATCTCTAAATCTGAACACAAATGAGAACAGGTGACATGCACGTCGCATTTCCATGCGCACAAGTGTGGTTGAACGATGGCACTGGGGAGACTTTTCGGCTCCCAACTCCCACAACCCACAAGGGTCTAGAGTCTAGAGTGCCAAAGAAAACATGCCAGGCTGAAAATATCTGCCACGAGACTTCTGAGTTGAGTTCAGTTCCACTGTGAGCAAGTCCTTGACAGACCATGTCTGCTTGATAAACATCTCGGTGCCCTGTAAGATGTGGATCACATGGATCCGGCTTCGAGGGTCTTTCGCCTGCTGAGCTGCCTCCAAAGGACTTCGACCGTGAGAGCTTACTGTCTCTTTGTCCACGCCCTTCCGCAACAGCGACTTCACCAGCTGAGGCTTACCCAGCTTCGCTGCCACATGAATGGGGTAGAGCTCTTCCATGTCACCGCAAAGAGCCAGGCCACGATGAAACCAACGGAACTTTTGCGGCGAGTTCACATCCTGAAATCGGTTCTTGGATAGAAACTTTTGAAGCTCAACTTGCTCTGCTTCCTTCACTTGGAGCCTCTTGCAAGCCCCCGGGGTGATGATAGGGTCGTCATCGACATCATAATTCTCTGCAAGTTTCAGGCCAGAAGTGGCCGGCGGGCAAGGTGGGTCATCGAGCTCGTTGACCTCAGGTCGAACGGCGCGGATGTTCTTGAGCGACCCAAACACGCCTGACCTGCGCAGCAACGAGCCATGGCCTGGAGGTCCAGAGGGCAATTCGGCCATACCGCTTTTTGGCCGAGGAAAATGTGACCCAAAGTGGCCAAATGCCAACTTGAGCCAACTTGTCCCAGCGCGGGAAAAGTCAAGCCAAGTACCGTATATACCTTCTGCTACTGTCCTCCACAGGACTATGAACTTCACCAAGCTCTCCCAACTGCTAAGCGACCGCCATCACTCGCCTGCCCCAGCACCCCACCTGGCACAAGAACGTCTGGCCAAATGTTTGGGGTAATTAGTGAGGTCCTACTCTGATGCGACCATTTACTTGCACTGTGAGGTGGTGAAGCTGTAGGTTGGCAACTTACAGCACAAACACGCGCCTGGCCACCAGCATGGGTGGCATAGGGTCCCACCTGTCCATCGATGCATGGGATGCCCCAAACATGTCGTCAAACATTGCTGAGGTAAAGACTCACGGAGAACCCCACCTGGATCCACGAACGCTTGAGGCTGTTTGATGGAGTCTATCGTCAGTATGCGTTTCCGCAAGCACAATCGTATTTTGGAGGGCTCCTCAAGTTTGAGGCCTGTTTATAAACGACTCTCAACTGTCAAGAGTCACGAGGAATCCAAATTCTGACTTCAAACCGGCACCAAATTCTTCGCGGCCGACTATTCTCTATCAAAGCCCTCCATCCACTGAGCAAATCAAGCAGGACCAAGCACCATCCGACACGCCGGACCTGTTGCTGGATGGATCGTAACACTCCACGCTTCGCACCGGTTGTGGTCCAGCCCAACCTCAGCCCAAGCGGACGACGACCTGGTTCAAAGGGAAGTCGAAAGGCGGGATCGTGGGGTTCAATTGTTAGTGGCTTCTTGCTCCTAGTAGTAAGGCAAGGAGCCCTTAGCGTCCTTGCTCCTAGTAGCAATGCCAGGAGCCCCTAATAGCCTTAACCAAATGGATCAAAGGACTGACACCTGGGACTACCAGGATGACCAGAAAAAGACATGCTGAATCGGCTGAATAGTGCGGATACTGCCTCCGACAATGGACACGTCACCCTTCTCTAATTGCTTTAAGGAGCTGCAAGATCCCGAGCGGATATCGTTTTTGGAAAATAATATGGAACCCACCCAAAACACTGCATCAGGATTGCCCTAAGCTGCTCAGCACGTCAACCACACTCTTGACATACTGTCTTGATATGCTGCTATGCTTTCTTATTATAGGTTGGAGCCCATTGCTAGGTTGGAGGCCATCGCTAGTAGATTGGAGGCCATCGCAAGTAGGTTGGAGGCCAATATAGCTCTTTTTGACTGGTTGCGATTTGTTCCAGCGAGCCACTTCTTTGTGTTCCCGACGGGTCTTCATCCCCACAAAAGCTGGGGATCACACCGCCACACACATAGATCTTACCGCCAATCACACCTGGCACCAAGAAGGACTCTTTACTGGCTGCTGATCCCAAGTTCATTCAAGTTCTGCTATTCAATATAACGAAGAAAGGCTTGTGAAGTCGCCGTAGCCTCCGTTGCCAATATTGCAATGACATTTACTGGTATTTTTGCATTCCAAACCAAGAAAAGGACAGCAAGGAATTGCTCATGCTGAACCAACTGAATGATCAATATGAATAGCACATCATCACTTCATCCACGGAACCAGTGGGACACAGGTAAAAGGGCCAAGGCTCCCGCGTACCATGTAGAAACAAAAAGTGCGCGTGCGTTGCGATGTTGCCGTTTGTTGTTTTTCCAACAGCATTAGGTCCATTCCTAGAAGGTGGAGGCCATCGCTACTAGGGTGGAGACCATTTATTGTGTTTCCTCACAGCCTCGGCCCAAGGGACTCTGTCATGTTGTGGCGCCTGCTGCCACTCAGCGGAGAATTTCTTTACCCGGAGATAGGGTAGTGCGGTAGTGTCTACGCAAAGTGTGATAGTGTGCTGGTCCAATCATGCCTGCGCAGGTATATTGGCGGGCTTCAGTCATGGGAGGGAGCACCTGCAACGTATCAGACCAAGTGGCCAATGTGACTTGAAAGCTGAAATCTGGAGAAGGACTGGCTCTTGAAACATTCTTGACTTGAAAGCCTTGCATGATCCCAGCTCAGGAAGTGCCAAATCACACAAGTGCAAATAGAAAGTGCAAGCGCAGGCACGTGCTGGACTATAGTTAGATATAGTAACAAAACCCATCAAAACCCCAAAATTCAAACAAACGCATCCTCTATTGAATCCCTATTGACAATAGCACTGAACAGCGTGCCAGGATGTTTCATCTTTTTTGGGGCACCCCTATCAGGAGGTCCAAACTTGAGAGCTCTGAAGTGAAGAAGAAACTTATCACGCCAGCCACTGCATCCAAGCCCACGTACCAAAGCCTCCCAAACGCCAGCCTTGGGAGTTCAGGCCAATATGCAAAGGCAATGCGCAAAAAGAACGTTTGTTTCAGGTCAGGTGTTGAACGACTAACAACAAGAAAAACACATGCCTATTATGCCTTGCAAATCTTTGTGGTACTTCTGTGCTTCAAAAATTACAATACAAGAACGGCCGTAGTATACACACCCAAACGAGGAGACTCGAACAATGGCAGGTCACGTTGAACTGCGCAGAGTCTTCCCACCGGGCGCCGCGGCGTGAGGATCCAGTCGCTCCACAGAGCTGAGCGCCAGCTGTCCTGACGGAGACCGAGACGGGAGGACCTGGTCTGGAGCCGTTCACTTTTCCCAAGTCTGGACACGAACCTGTTCCGGGTTGGGAAGTGGCAAAAGCAGGGAAGGACCTTTCCAAGAGCTGCAGCTCTACTCATTCCAACTTGCAAAGTGCTGACCTTACTGGTACTTTGCAGTCTGTCATCTAACAGCTTGGATTTGGGAGCATCATGGTGCAGGACAGAACATGGATGAACATGGCATCGTCGCTTCAACGAGGCGTGTCACTGGTGCATTTGCCAGCTTGAAGGGGATTCCTTTTTTTCTGACCCACAACCCTTTTTTTCTGACCCACATCCTTTTTTTCTGACCCACAACCCTTCTTTTCTGACCCACAACCCTTCTTTTCTGACCCACAACCCTTCTTTTCTGACCCACAACCCTTCTTTTCTGACCCCCAACCCTTCTTTTCTGACCCACAACCCTTCTTTTCTGACCCACAACCCTTCTTTTCTGGCCCACAACCCTTTTTTTCTGACCCACAACCCTTCTCCTTTCTTTCTGACCCAGAACCGCGATCCGCCCGCTTTCTTTTTGACCCCTAGCCGCATAGCCCTTTTCTATAGCGACCCTTCTTCTTTCAATTGGATCCGCAAGCCTTCAGTTTTGATCCATATATCTCGTGAAGTAAGGGCAGAAATAATTACATTAGACAACACAGTCAAAAACAACATTGCTCAACACTTATTACAGGCTCAATGATAAAAATTAGCTATTTCCGATGTATCACACGATCACTCAAACCTTCAATGCTAGAGGTGGTGAAATTAAGCTGAGTATTGTAAAATAGTCTTCTAAATTGACTGGTGCCTTCATCAGCTTGTTTAGAGCACCTAGAAGTGGCAAAAACCTAAAGCGCTTCTTGCCAGATATGTATACAAGCGATGGAACAACTTCTACAATCCAATGGTATATGGAAGAATTAATGACACAGGAGCCGCCAACACAGAAGACTAATATGGTAGAGGTTTCCAAGATGCAACACGTAATTTAAGTTGGCAAATTCAATTGAGCAACTCACAGAAATATCCAGAATTTGAAAGTCAAAGTTTATCAGAAGCGTTTTGTTATTTAAGAAGAGCTATACATTACATGAGCCCGGACCAAAATAGTTTTTAAGTTGTTCTTATCAACAATACAGAAGTAATAAATTCGTTATAGGTATGTCATTTGAGAAACTGGCGGACGTCAATGTGACCGCATACAATGCAAAAATGTCGGGAATTACAAATTTCACAATTAAGGGAACAGAAGGAGCACTTGACCCTAATGAGCAAATTATGAGGTTTTCGGCCACATGCTTTCATAGACTGTTCTGGAATTGAGAGAAAGCGGAAGTGTTGTACATGATGAAAAAATCTATATAATACTATATCCAATGATGAAATACGAAAAATGCAAAGACTGGCAACCGTGTTCATCTTCAAAAGCAGTTAATGAACTTCAGCCCCTTTGATTTGAGGGCTACTTCATACCTAGACCATTTACATACAGAATCGAAATTAAGGCAGTCAAGGGAAGCAATGCTTTTATTAAGAAAAGACATGATAGAAGCGAACAAGAGGTCTAATTATGGACAGAATAACTAATGAGTTATCTCCTCCAAACTTACCTTACATGTCAAAGCAACATTTAGAAGACAGAGTTAAACCACTTAAACATCTGGCGACATCCTTCTCTAAACTTCCCCCTTGGGTGGCTCACCAAAGGGTAGGCCAACTTGGAAGGGCCACTTCTCTGCATTGGCCACAAAAGGGTGAGTCAACTTGGCATGGCCACTTCCTTCTCCAAATTTTGCCCCTGGGTGGCCCACACAAGGGTGAGTCAACTTAGCATAGCCACTTCCTTCTTTAAATTTTTCCCCTGCATTGCCAACACAAAGGGGTGAGTCAAGTTGAAATGGCAACATCCTTCTCTAAATTTTTACCCCTGCATTGCCGACAAAAGGGTTAGTCAACTTGGAACGGCAACATCCTTTTCTAAACTTTCCCCTTGGGTGGCTCACCAAAGGGTGGGCCAACTTGGAAGGGCCACTTCCCTGCATTGGCCACAAAAGGGTGAGTCAAGTTGGAACGGCCACTTCCTTCTCTAAATTTTACCCCTGCATTGCCCACAAAAGGGTGAGTCAACTTGGAAGGGCAACTTTCCTCTCTAATTTTTACCCCTGCGTGGCCCAAAAAAGGATGAGTCAACTTCGCATGGCCACTTCCTTCTCTAAATATGACCACTTCCTTCTCTAAATTTTACCCCTGCTTGCCCACACAAAAGGGTGAGTCAAGTTGAACTGGCAACTTCCTTTTCTAAAATTTTACCCCTGCGTTGCCCACAAAAAGGTGAGTCAAGTTGGAATGGCCACTTCCTTCTCTAAATGTTACCCTCGAATGGCTCCCCAAAGGGTGAGTCAACTTGGAATGGTCACTTTCTTCTCTAAATTCTTCCCTCAAGTGGCTCACCAAAGGGTGAGTCGACTTGGGAGGGCAACATCCTTCTCTAAATTTTACCCCTGCATTGCCCACAAAAGGGTGAGTCAAGTTGAAATGGCAACATCCTTCTCTAAATTTTGGCTCACCAAAGGGTGAGTCGACTTGGAAGGGCAACATCCTTCTCTAAATTTTACCCCTGCGTCAACCAGTGAAACACACGTGAAAGCACAGACATGAGAGCACATAACCGAAAACAAATATTCTTTGTTGAGGGAACGGGCGACGACAGTGCCACAACCAAAGTGAGGGCATGAGTGACTACTGACACTTGTGATGTTAAAACTTATGCAGGGCATACATTCTATACGTTCTGAATGCGCGTGATAAAACAGACCTGGTTAACGGGTTTCGTTATATAAAGGAAATGCTACTACAATCAATATCAGAACTTTAAGATGTGTGAGACCTACAAATTGCTGACTAGTAATTGTATAAAAGCTTATTCTATTGAGAGTTATGCTTTTACCTTAGCTATCTGCGAGACAAGTGAAAACATGATTTCAGTAGATGTGCCACGTGTGAGCGCGGGCATAGGTACAGCATAGGCGCGGGTACAGGTACGCCTTGTCGGCGCGTGGTACTGGTACGGGTACGCCTTGTCGGTGCGTGGTACTGGTACGGGTACATGTTGGTGCGTCAAACAGTGCGGGGTGCGGGCGCGGGCGCGTCTTGTTGGTGCGTCAAACAGTGCGGGGTGCAGGTGCGGGTACTAAGGGGGCAGCGCCTCATCCGCGCACACGGATTCGACTCAAGCGCGCACACACACGTTATCAGCCCTTGTGCCTCATCTGCGCACACACTTGTTGACTCAAGCGCGCGCACACACCATCGGGGGGACTCAAGTGCACACAGGCATTCCAAATTTCACCCCTGCATTGCTCACTTAAAAGGGTAGTCAACTTGGAATGGCCACTTCCTTCTTTAAATTGTACCCTCAAGTGGCTCACCAAAGGGTGAGTCAATGGGAGGGCAACATCCTTCTCTAAATTTTACCCTCGGGTGGCTCACCAAAAGGTGACTCAACTTGGAAGGGCAACATCCTTCTCTAAATTTTAAACCCTGCGTGGCCCACAAAAGGGTGAGTGAACTTAGCATAGCCACTTCCTTCTCTAAATTTTACCCCTGAATTGCCAACACAAAGGGGTGGGTCAAGCTGAAATGGCAACATCCTTCCCTAAATGTTACCCCTGCATTGCCGACAAAAGGGTTAGTCAACTTGGAATGGCAACATCCTTTTCTAAACTTTCCCCTTGGGTGGCTCACCAAAGGGTGGGCCAACTTGGAAGGGCCACTTCCCTGCATTGGCCACAAAAGGGTGAGTCAAGTTGGAACGGCCACTTCCTTCTCTAAATTTTACCCCTGCATTGCCCACAAAAGGGTGAGTCAACTTGGAAGGGCAACATCCTTCTCTAAATTGTACCCTCGGGTGGCTCACCAAAGGGTAGGCCAACTTGGAAGAGCCACTTCCCTGCATTGGCCACAAAAGGGTGAGTCAAGTTGGAATGGCCACTTCCTTCTCTATTTTACCCCTGCATTGCCCACAAATGGGTGAGTCAACTTGGAAGGGCAACTTCCTTCTCTAATTTTTACCCCTGCATGGCCCACAAAAGGGTGAGTCAACTTGGCATGGCCACTTCCTTCTCTAAATGTTACCCCTGCACTGCCCACAAAAGGATGAGTCAAGTTGGAATGACCACTTCCTTCTGTAAATTTTGCCCCTGCTTGCCCACACAAAAGGTCAAAAGGGTGAGTCAAGTTGAATTGGTAACTTCCTTTTCTACAAATTTACCCCTGCGTTGCCCACAAAAGGGCAAGTTGGAATGACCACTTCCTTCTCTATATAAGTGTTACCCTCGGGTGGCTCGCCAAAGCGTGAGCCAAATTGGAAGGGC